AAAACAATCAACCAGTCTCGAGACCAATTTTAGCTGTTAAGGGACGCAACTCAAAAATGATGATCGATGCCGGTATATCAATGTCTTGTTTCTATATATACATTTTCAGTCAAAATACCTAGAAGTCATAGGAAATGAAGATACAATAATGTATATAATACAAAAACTGTACGAAATAAATGGGTTTTGAAGAAATATTATGGTAAAAAATTATGTAGGTCCCTTTTATCAACCTTTTTACATAGGAAATTCATTAAGAATTGTAAAAACACTAATTTGACAAAATCTAAAAAAGAATGTTGGATTGGTAGGTAAAACAATCCAGAATATAGCCTGTTTTGTACATTTAAACCTACTCAAAAGATCTTGAAAAATTCTATACAATAACCAGGAACCTTGCCAATGTCCTTAAAAATTTTAGGAAATGATTATGTCTATATTACAGATAGGAATTGAGCAAATGATTCCTTCAACATTACAGAGAACAACTAAGTACTTGTCAGCGACAGAAAATAAAATCATTTAACCTTCGTAGAGTCGCTAAAATATGGCTATGACAATTATTAACCATTTCTTATGCTTGTAACTGTTGTTTAAACATTAGAGTTTGTGATAAACACGCAGTTTTAGAATCGATTTTGATAATAAATTAAACTTATAAAGACTTAAATTCAATTTTTTTGTATGACATTACATTTTTTGCTGCATGTATCAAATTCGATTTTTTTTTGTATTACATTACATTTTTTGCTGCATGTATTCATAAACATATGTATATGTGTGGCACTTGAATCTATAATTTCTTAATCGTTGATGCAAGGATCGACTTTCATATTTCACAGGTTTATCCTTTCTTTGGGTATACCAACATTTTGACCTCCTGACCCTGACGTTTGATTTGCATTTAAGAATCTTTAACCTTCGCCATAGAATGCCATACGGGGACATCAGTGTTTTACAAACACATTTTGTTGAAAAGAATATATGATCGATGGCATGACTTTGGCATAATTAAGAAATAAAAAGGTAAAATGTAAGACGAAAAAGCACAAACTATTTAGAAAAAAGGATAAAAGAACTGTAAATCACTTTTTATTGGCAAGAACTTTATTTTCGTATAATTACGCGAGTCAATCTGCTCGCCAATATTTTACTCTGCTATATATTTTTCTCTATATAGATTAAACATAGCAATAACCAGAATTCCTGAACATTTTGTCTCGCTTATAAATACCAAATAACCATCTCGCGAAAATACGGTGTAGAGAAAATTTGGTGATCTACAGTATCAAAAAAGTACATGCGTAATTACAAGAAGAAAATTGTAATACAAGAGACACCCAGTTTATTTTGTTATAAGTTTAATTATTATCAAAATCAAATTTCACAATTATGTTTTTCACAGGAAAGTTAAAACAACAGTTCCAAGTTTAGAAACTGGTTATTAACTGTCAAATCATGTTTATGCTACTGTTCGAGAACTATAGGATTTCCTTATCTTTCTCTGACATATTCTCAATTACTATCTGTAATGTTGAAAGAATCACTTTCAAAAACTTGAAATACTTTTTATTGCGGTACCTTTTAGAAATAATCTCAATGATTTCTATTATGGTTCTTGATACAGTTAGGTGCTTTTCTTAATCTAGTATCTTTAGAGGTTGCACGCATCGTAATCTAGTACCTGTAAGAGATAGGTGCATTAGAACCTGGTACCTGTTGGAGGTAGGTAGCTTCATAACCTTGTACCTATAACAGGTACCTTGATAGTTTGATACCTTTTAGTGGTAAGTCGCTTGATTATGCGAACCCTGTTTAAGGTAATCTACAGCTTGCTAAAGAAGGTTGCTTTAAAATCTGCTACATGTTAGAGGTAGGTGGATTATAATCCTGTACCTGTTAGAGATGGTTTATTTCATAATTTTGTTCCCGTCTGAGGTAGGTATCATCATAATCTGGCACCTGCTAAAGGAAGGTATCTTCACAATCTAATAACAGTTAGAAGTACGTAGCTTTATAATCTGGTACATGTTGAAGAGGGTAGTTTCATACTCTTGTACCTGTTAGATTTTGGTAGATTCATATTCTGGAAGGTGTCAGAGGTATAAGTCGCTTGATAACCTGATACCTATTAGAGATAAGAAGATTCATATTCTTGGATCTGTTACGATAGAGTCACTTGAATATCTGGCACCTGTTGGTGGTAGGTCGCTTGATAATCCGGTACCTGTTGGTGGTAGGTCGCTTAGTAATCTGGCACCTATTTAATGTAGGCTGCTAGAAGCAGGTTCGTTTAAAATCTAGTACCTTTTACACGAAGGGTTGCTTTAACCTCTGCTGTTAGAGTTAAGAGGATTACTGTATAAGCAGAAATTATGATTCAATTCAAAATTCAAGGATTCAGTTTTGGCATTTTAGCGAGGGTGTCGAGATGGCTAAAATTAAATATCGCTAACAATATAATCCGCATTAGAGGTTACTGTTATCTTTCGGTGCACCATATAATCTCTAAAATTACTTCTCGCTAAATTGAATACTTATTTTAGGACAAATCACTGAAGCTGCGTCTCGTTAAAAATTCCACTTATACGGTAGGGTGATTCATATTTTTTTCCTGTCAGAGATAGGTAGCTACATAAACTGACACCTGTTAAAGGAAGGTAGTTTTATGATCTAATACCTGTTATAGGTAGGGAGCTCCATAATTTCGAACCTGTTAGAGGTAGGTAGCTTCATACCCGGTATTCTGCTAGCTGTTAGAGATAGGTGCATTGTAATCTGGTACCTGTTAGAGGTGAATACATGTAGCTTCATAATCTGTTCCAGTACTTGAAGGGCCTGTGTGCCACTCTTTTAATGTCTATATATGGTGCTGTACACCTCTTGTAAAACAAATTTGAATGAAAAAAATATCAAGCATATATTTTTAGAATTTTTTGTATATATTTCTTTGAATAATACAAGAATTTTCATCAATTGATATCTTTTCAAAACCCCTCGTAATGCATGCTGATTTTTTTGTCTGAAACATCTAATGGTACTTTAATTTTAATTTAAGAATATCTTGAAAAATTATCAGTAGGTTAGGTACGTCGCTTATGTCCTTAAGATACTTTCTGGAGTTTTGTTGGTTTAAAATCTTATTCCTTTTACGGGTAGGGAGCTTTAAAATCTGCTATCAGTTGGTGGAAATTGGATTTTAATCTGGTACATATTAATGAGAGGATATATCATAATTTTGTCCCTGTCAGAGATAGGCTGCTTCATAATCTGGCACCTATAAGAGATGGGTAGCTGTATATTCTGGCACCTATAATTGGTTCGTGGCTCCATAATCTGGCACCTATAAGAGTTAAGTAGCTTCATACTCGGTAATCTGGTACCTGTTAGAGGTAGATTGCTGCATAATCTGTCGTGTATGGTGTAGGTTGTTTCATAATCTGGTACCTGAAAAAGATAGGTAGCTTCATAATCTAGTACCTATTAGCTGTGGGTTGTTTGATAATCTGGAACCTGTTGAAGAAAGGCTTCTGCTTGCTTTAAAAGGCTGGTTTGAAAACTGGTACCTGTTACAGGTTGGGTTGCTTTAAAATCTGCTACCTCTTAGGCCGCTTGATTATATCTGGTACAAGTAAGCATGTAGCTTCATTATCTGGTACCTGTTACAGATAGGAATAGCTTCATAATCTGCTACTTGTTAGAGGGTGGTCGCTTGGAAATCTGGTACCTGTTAGAGAAAGATAACTACACAAACTGGTACCTGCTACAGGTAGGGTGTATGACCCCACTGTCCTTGCCTTTGTTGTCCCCCACTTTCCCTGAAAATGGAGGATATTATTTGGGTCTGTCTGTTCGTCCGTCCGTTTGTATTTCTGTCTGTGTACAACACTTTCTTTTCCAGACGATATCTCGAGAAAGTCTTTGAGCTTTTACAATAAAGGATTTCCATAGCTGTTTATTTTTAGGTCAAAAGGTCAAAGGTCAATTTCATAAACTCATAAATTCTGTCTGTTTTAACACTTTCGTTTCCGGGCGATATCTGATGAAGCTTTTGAGCTCATGCAATGAAATTTTATAACATAACTCACTATGGCCCCGCCCGCCCCTCTCAAAGTATCCCGTCCCGTTGTTTTTTTTTATTTTGGTTAATTTTTTTTTTATCAAAAGTCAATGGAAAATTCGTCGGCATCGATCATGCTCAAAGTTTAAGCGTTACTACCCTTTTGTATTTAAAGTCGCGTGGCGCTATTTTTAGCACAGGAGCATATGGTCAGTTATTATATATAACAACGGGGCGGGACACTTTTTGAGGGAGTTATGGTATTAAATTTCATTGCATAAGCTCAAAAGCTTCTCGAGACATCGCCTAGAAAGGAAAGTTTTAAAACAGACAGAATTTATGAATTCATGGCCTTGACCTTTGACCTTTTGACTTCAAAATCAACAATAGTCTTCTCTGGCCCATAGGGAGTTGTTATAGAAGTTAAAATTTTATAAAATTTCATTGCAAAAGCTCAAAGGCTTCTTGAGATATCGTGCGGAAACGAAAGTGTTACAGATTGACAAACAGACGGACTGACGGACAGACAAACCCAAATTAGTATACCCTACTTTCAGTGAAAGCAGGGGACAAAAATTTACCAACATAGAAACATGTATGCAGTAAAAATACGATAGAAGATACACAAACAAAAAAAATGCAAAACTATCAATGTCTTCAAACCCACCCATCCCTTTTCTTTACATTTTGATTCTTGTTCCGCAACATGAAAGGTGTAACATCCTCCTCTCTGAGTAATTAGACCACACAATCCAAGATATGCCAACTGAATCTCGATAGCTTCGTTAGCAGAAATTGCCGGTCTTCATATCTTGTCTCTTGAAACCAGCATATACTTGAACATTCTCCTATCAGTTTATATTTGATTTTGGCCATTTTATTCCGCAAATAACACTATCTATTATTTCTTTACACATAACTCAATTTCACTTTCAGACAGTTCGCCTAGAGTGATGAAAGTTGAAATATACCGAACGGTGATTTTTGTCCTTCTACCACAAATAAGAGGTAAAATAAGTATGTTGTCTAAATAAGGCTAGTTTCTGCTATATTAAGCATTTGCAGCCAGAGCTAATTGTATTTTTGTATATTCGTTTCATTGCTGTCTGAGGGATCTGAGAAATTTAATGGCGGTAATATTCTTTTCTCGTCATTTAAGCTGTGGACATTGAGGTTTCGACGGCGGATAATAGGAAATATGTGAAGCTGAGTACGCATTGCATTGTTGCTGCAGGCAGATCGTTCTACACATTCCAGGTCAAGGCAAAGAACGACGCACATATTGCCTTAATGAGCGAAGACGATGACGCACGCCCTCTGTATGAGATTGTTATTGGAGGCTGGGGAAATAAAAAGTCATGTATCCGAACAGGTAAACAGCTTCCATGCTTGAGTACCTATCAACAAACAGTACTAAGTCAAACTGCCTATAGGTTATTTTGGGTGTCTTGGATTGGAGGATACATCGTAGTTGGTGAAGGGGATGTCGTTAATAAGAACGTATTTATGAGCTACCATCACTCAAATCCGTATCATGTTAATTTCTTTGCTGTGATGACTGGATGGAGTTCTAGTGGACAATGGAAATTCAGCAACGGTATAAAATCAAAACATAATAATAAAAATTGAGCCAGAAAAATGATTTCTTTTATCTGTTTCAACAGAATATGTATACTACTAAAAAGTACCATGCAAATGAAATGATTTAATTAGTTATAAATACTATTCTACGTTTGTTAAAAAAAAGTGTAGCATTATTAAGCAACTACAATTTATATATTCACCAATGAATTGGAAAGACGTGAGGTGCACTCTGCAAGCCTTCAACAATACCAGAATAGTAGAGAACTACACGGACTGCGTTGGAACCACGACGTACGAGTGTGACAGCGGTTATTTTCTCCACAGTGGAAACTTACAACGCACCTGCTTCTCCAACAGGACGTGGTCAGGGGAACCTCCTTATTGTAAACGTAAGAATTTATGTGAAAAAAAAAGAATTATAAAGTTTCTATGCACAGGTTGTATTTATAAGAAGACTTTGTCTTGTCATAAATTTTGAATTTAAATTTTAACAAATGTAAATTTTGTATTAACTGCCACATAGTAAATTCAAAATTTGCAGCAGGACACACTGATAATGTCCCGTTTATCAATAAGCAACATGCCTTGCAAGCAAAATAAGTTATCCGTCCGCGTGACACACATTGAGCATATGTTTTATAGATAGTTAAATTTATCGAACAATACGTGTACAGATCAATAACATGTAAAATTTAATGGATTTATTTAAAAGAATCTGAGAGATAATAGTCACACAAAAAATAATAATAATTTACTGTTCGAAAGTGTAGCATCCATTTAAAGATTGGTTAAAATCACTTGGAGCAATTGCACTGCATTTTTGAAAATTATATCCGTCTTTAATGAAGTGTATCAATTATTTTATTTGATTTCCTGTATTATTAAACATGAATGAAATTGAGTTTTCATCTCTAGAAATTTCATGTCCACAAATTTCATCGACGGTCTCTTATGCAATCCAACACCAAGATACAGATATTGGAGGAAACGTCACTGCCGTCTGCTCTGATAACTTTCGTCACTCATCCGGTCACCTGACCAGAGAGTGTACCTCTAATGGGTCGTGGGATGGCGAGGAACCTGTTTGCTTACGTAAGTCTTTTAAAATTTGTGGGTATAATTCTGTCGTTTATTAATTTTCAATCTAAAATTGAAAATGAGCACGTTATAATTTGTCATGTGTTCATTTTCAACTTCACCGTTCACGGTAGCTCAGTTGGTAGAGCGCTCGCTCCGTGCTCGGAAGGTCGTGAGTTCGAATCTCGACCGCGACTGACCTAAGTCGATAAAAAATAGGTAGCAACTGTTCCTTCGCCATGCGCTCGGCACTTTGAAGTGAAAGTTGCGGGTCCTCCGGATGTGACCTTAAAAACCGAGGCCCCGTGTCACGGTAGGCTTTGGCACGATAAAGATCCATCACTGTTCAATGGCCCTGAGTCACGAGTAAAGGTCAAAATTTGAAGCCCTTCACCGGTATATGGTGACGTTTCTATATGAGTGAAAAATTCTCGAATGGGACGTAAAACAACATACAATCAATCAATCATTTACAACTTCAGACTGAAAATTAATTAACGACAATTCTATCCAGTGACTTTAGTTTTTAGGTTAAACTTATTCTTACATAAGGCTTGTTAAACAGCATAGACTCAAGATATTTGATTATTTATAGATATCTACATATGCCTTAAGAATGCTTTTAAATTATTAGAGTATTTGTGTAAATATATGTTATCAACATATAGGGCTACTCAAAATTTCCTCTGTATGTATCTCTTCAACCTGAGGTAGCACCGTTCACGGTAGCTCAGTCGGTAGAGCGCTCGCTCCGTGATCGGGAGGTCGTGAGTTCGAATCTCGGCCGCGACAGACCCAAGTCGATAAAATGGGTAGCAACTGTTCCTTCGCCATGCGCTCGGCACTTTGAAGTGAAAGTTGCGGGTCTTTCGGATGAGACCTTAAAAACCGAGGCCCCGTGTCACGGCAGGCGTTGGCACGATAAAGATCCCTCACTGCTCAATGGCCCTGAGTGCCGAGTAAAGGTCAAAATTTGAAGCCCTTCACCGGTATATGGTGACGTCTCTATATGAGTGAAAAATTCTCGAATGGGACGTAAACAACGTACAATCAATCAATCAATCAACCTGAGGTAGCAGAGGATAGTTTCGGATAAAGAAAGGGTAAAAAATTAGGGAAAAAATAGAGAAATACATATTTTAGGTGATTTTATCGCTAGAATATTGTATGCGTGCATTTAAATTGAAGTGGGGGCCTTATATATTTTATTGATATATGACACTATAGTGTCACAACTAATACTCATAGGATACTTCGTTTTTTAGCGGCCTTACAGGACAAAATTTTTAATATAAAAATGGTGAAAAGTTGACTTGAAACTTCAGATAAAAAGAACTGAATGTACTCTCTGGGGACTGATTTATATTGGGGAAACAAAGTATTCACTCAATAAGAGAATGCCGGAGCAAAGGTTTGAAATAAATAATGGGGCCATCTCCATCTTTATAATAATTTCAATTCACTTGGCCACTCTCTTCTTTCAATGAGGATAAGAGTTATGATAAATCATCCAACTAATAGTCCAACTTTAAGTAGACGGTGAGAAGAATACTGGATCAAGAAACTGGGAATGGCCTCTCCGTATGGATATAACGACCACATAAATAATGTAGGGAATCTTTCAAACCCACAATGTGCCAATGTGGATGTGATAGAACTTTTTAACAGTACACCTAGATGTGGGTGTAGTAATGGACATCGATCATACAATAGACCAAATATTACATGATGTCACTTTTGCCTTGCGTCAATAAATAATTAGGTCTTCAACACATTCGCACTAAACTTTAATCGGTTCCCTTAAAATTTTGAATGGACTATTTGAAGAAGCTAAAGCAAGTCCATACTCAGATTATTCAACTGCAGAAAACAAGCTAGTGTTTGCGATTATGGACGTTGCTAAGCACATGCTCTTTAAGCTACCATGTGTGTCAGAAGATACCGTCGATTCCTTATCTTAAATTTGCCAACAAAGAAATAGATGCTACGAACATTAGTAACATTCTTAATCATAAAAAGGTTCAGTCTTGCATTCTAACATATTTCAAGTTGAAGTCATCACCCTGTATTCCCTACAGATCTTCCAAAACTGTTGCTTCCAAACCTTTATTATAAACGATCCTTAAAGTAAGTAAGATCAGAGTGCATTCGGAAAGATCACAAATAATGGACATATGGAAATATAAAAGTTCTGTGTGTCTCTTCTGGTGCAAATGATATGGCCAACGTTAAGATTTTTAAAAGAAGGCCAAACTTCAAGGTCAATGTAATAACACATAATAATATATTTGAAAGGTTTTATCACGGGTAATGCACATGAAAATATATAAAAGTCCTCTGTCTCTTCATGTGCTTAAGCCAGGCCCGTACAACGCAGGGAGCAGGGGAGCGCCCCCCCCCCCTTTTTCTGAGTATTGTATTTTGCTATATAGTAAATTTTCCTTTAGATTCTAGTTGAACCCCCCTTTTTTTAAGTCTTAAGGTCGGGCACTGGCAAATTCCAGGATATGGACTGTAATTTTTTTTTTGCTTGTCAGATTTGGGGGGGGGGGGGGGGAGAGTCGCCCCCCCCCCCCAACTTTTGAAACCGTTGCTACGGGCCTGAATATTGAGAAAAAACAATCAAGTCATTTATTATAATATAGTGATGAATGACTGTTGAATCAGAGATTTTATGCATATATAATTAATTCTGGTTATAACGCGGTATTTGATTGAATAAAAAATTTACTTTATATCGTATAAATTGGGTTGCCTACGTCACTGGGACTTGCGTCAAAAACGTATCGATCACTCTGCATGACGTTACATTTAAATTTTGTACATCTTGAAGTCATTTTTAAAGGCAATCATCTTCACACTTAATGAATGAAAATTGAATTACATATAAGGAATGATACGGTTTAAAATGGGGTGGAACAGTTTAGGCTTCTTTATAAACCGGTTTATAAAGCTTAAACTGCCCACCCAGTTTATATTGTATAAATTGGGTAGCTATTATATTCATTCCTTAAATACATGGAGTATAAAATGAATTTGTTAAGGAACATCCATGCATATTTCGGTTAGAAAACTAAAGTAAATTTTCTGTAACTGCACTTATATATATTAAATAATGCCCAAAAAATTATAATACACATCTTTACAATCATCTCACAAAGCAACTGAGCAAAATTTAGTAATTACTTTGTTTTTATGCTTTTAAATTACTGAGATGGATAGCATTTCAGAACTTTTTTAATCAGCAAGATATGTTACGCGATCTTTTGATTTAATATGAAAAATACAGCAACCATCTTGTCCCCCATGTCACCCCAAATAATATAGCCTGTGTCATCACCCCAGATAATATAGCCTGTGTCATCACCCCAGATAATATAGCCTGTGTCATCACCCCAGATAATATAGCCTGTGTCATCACCCCAAATAATATAGCCTGTGTCATCACCCCAGATAATATAGCCTGTGTCATCACCCCAGATAATATAGCCTGTGTCATCACCCCAGATAATATAGCCTGTGTCATCACCCCAGATAATATAGCCTGTGTCATAAAATGTGAAGATAACGAACAGTGATCGGTTTTTAAAGTCCATTTAAACAATACAAATTATCAAAGCCAAAACGGGTTTGATGATTGATCAAACCCGTTGATGGCACCTGATCCAACAATGGGATCAGGTGCCATGGAAAAGTGAACATCCCATGTTGACCGTTCACACCAACCGTGTGCTCCTTGTCCTCATCGGGTCCACGGAAAGTTCGAAGACAATTAACTCAATCTGCAAATAATTACATAACAATTTGTATGAAAGACCTCTGTCAACATTTGACCGAACGGCAGTTTGTGTTTGCAAAGTTAAAAAGGTCATTGTATCGACCTTAGAATGTTTTAAATATTGGCTTCAAACCTTAATATCCTTGTATCATCAAGTTATTTGTCAATAGCCTGCCTCATTTTAAAAATTGTTCGTTCATAGAAAATGACCTTGCGTACTGAATCAACAGGCTTTTCTTTAACTGAACGATGTATACATTTAAAGCCCCTTCCCTACATTCTGAAAGAGATTAAATAAAACTTTATTCTATTTTCGAGTTTGTTTTGTTTGTTTAGTACTTAGGGTTGCATGCATGATTGATTGATTGTATGTTGTTTTATATCCCATTCGTTTTTTTTTCTCATGTAGAGACGTCACCATATACCGGTGAAGGGCTTGAAATTCAGACCTTAATTCGGCACTCGAAGCCATTGAGCATTGAGGGATCTCTATCGTGCCAACGCCTGCCGTGACATGGAACCTCGGTTTTTCAAGGTCTCATCCGAATGATCCGCAACTTTCACTCCAAAGTGCCTAGCGCTTGGCGAAGAAACAGTTACTACCTTTATATAGCAAGCGCTCTACCGACTGAGCTTTTGTGACGGCGGGTTGCATGGTTGAAACTACTAATTAAAATCAATAATAAAATACGTCATAAACCTCGGGGCACTAGTGCTTGTGTTTGATAATAGAATCAATGCAGTAACAGATGCAAAAAGTTTGAGAGCTACAAAGATGGCATCGCCAATATTCGGGTTTTCGTGTGTTTGTAAACCCTGAATCTTACGAAGTTTATGGGAATTGCAGAAACATTCCATCTTTTGTGTTAAATAGGTTTGAAGATTAAAAAAAAAAGGGAACCGCACTCAAGATCAAATCACAAATATTTTTAATTAAAAAAAATAAAAAGATGTAAATGTATATAACTATACTAATTCATAAACAGTGCAAAGAAATACCTCACACGCTACTAAAATTATTCCATAATTAACACTCTCTAGCACCATCTAAATCAGATTATAACTGTTCTTTTTTGCACGCAATGTAGCGTCAATTCAGTGAACGACTGTTGGTATTGCATCGATGATCGTTCGTTTTGCAATCGAGTCTGTTGATTTTATTTTGTTTTAAAAATACTTAACAAATAGTGTGTTTCATTTATATAATTTTGCTTTATTTAGATGATTAAGAGAATTCTGCCTTACGCTTCTTGACATATTTTATCTAATATTCATATCATGCATCAATAAACAGTTTATCATTTTAAGCTCTGGTGCATCTTATTTGGAACCAAAACATTTTCTCCCCAGTTTCTCTTTACGTTTTCTATCTTACGTTAAAGAAATGAGAAATAAACAACTGTACTTGTTTTCCTTTTGGGAAAAAAAAGTAAGTGTTTCAGGTAAATCAATTAAAAGGAAAAAGATAATCAGTACTTGTTTTCCTTTTGGGAAAAAAAGTAAGTGTTTCAGGTAAATCAATTAAAAGGAAAAAGATAATCAGTTCATGATTTACTCGAATCTGTTTTCAATAGGTTGCAGGTGCCCGTGTTCATTGATTGGTCAGCAGGGGTTCAACTCTTCAAGTGAACTAGAACAAAGACTTAAACAGTTGAAAAGGGAACTAGAGATCGCTAAAAACTCCACAAGTTCCTTTTATCGAAAGAGGAACTGTGCTTTGGACAATCGACTTTCGTCCGCCAGCCTTGGATATTTGTGTGGCTATGGTGTAATTATTTCCATTGCTGTATATTTGGTGATTCCAGATTTATCGATATTGTACAGACATTTTCGATTTGGAGCAGACTGAAATATTTCAACAACCATTTGTGCAAGATTATTTAATACACTTTTGTCGAAATATTCTCTTAGGTACTTAATTCTTCATGGTATCTTGTTGCATTTCTTCTACCCCGCCTACCCCTTTCCTAGCCTTTCCTGGCATACTCTAATACATATAAAGGCGTTCACATCTTATGAACCATTGTGGCTGCTAATCAATCGAAGAAAAAGTGTTGATATTCCATAAAGAACGGTGAAACACCAATCAAACCACAGTAAGTTATAACGTTTTCAAGATTGACGAACATTTAGATATTTAAGAACAATTAATCTGTTATGTAAGACATATGTATTTGTTTGTATTATTTTCTTCAACTTTAATTCAGAAAACATCGTCTTTATATCTATTCACAAATTAAAAAAAATAACACAAATTTTTATATGTATGGGTGTGGGTGTGCGTTCATTATACTGAACGAAAGACATTCTATGTTCTGCAATGATTTCTTAAGTCTTCTCTTAGGTCCATTATTTGTACACGTTTACATCTGTTTTTCTATGATTCAATAACACTTTTCCTGTAGTAAAAAAAACAGCCGGTTATATGTTTTGTTTTATATCCATGTTATACGTACATGTATCTTTAAAGCATCTAAATGTCTTTTACTCCTTGAGTCAAAGCAATAATACACCTTTGAATAATTTGCAACTACATACTTAAGTTTTAAATTCAGTATAAACTCAGTCCAAAAAGTTGTTGTCCTATCAGTTTTCGAAATGTAAATCATAAATAAACTTTCAGAAACCATAATTTTTATGTATTCAGCTAAAAATATTATTTTGAACCCAGAATCGCTAATATGATGAGTTTTTATTGCTTGCCAAATCCCAACATCATGAGACACCGATAGATCATGGATAACAAAATACTAAACAGAGAAGGGTTTCAGAGTAGCTACTCAGACATAATTTTATGACAGACAGATGAACAGTCGGACAGCTAGACAATATAAAAAATGAAACGTCTTTTCCCTTAGGGGAAACCTAATACAAATGTCCAAAATATTTTCATCTTTGGTGAATGTCTCGTAGTGAAGAGCTACCTTTAACCAAGGCTGTTCATACCAATTGTTAGGCCTTTGTTTTTATACTGAATTTGAGTACGGAATGTTTCGCTCACCTGATCAATACATAGGGCTTACGGCGGGTGTGACCGGTCAACAGGGGATACTTACTCCTCCTAGACATCTGATCCCACCTCAAGAATTTCCAGGGGACCCTGTTTTTTGCCTTGTTCACAGATTTGTATTGTTTAAAGAGTTTTTTGAGATCGATCACTGTTTGTTATCTTCACCTTTTTCATTATGCAAAGTAAAAATTGGTCTAGGTCATGTTGATCTAGAAAAGAACTAAAAAACATGTCACTTTTACTAATACAACGTGCGGACGCATAGGAAAGCCTCTGTTGAATTTAGCTTTTGTATATGACCCAAGAGGCAACAAAAACGACATCTCATCTCAGTGTCATTTAAGCAGATATCAAACGAAATATAAACACAAAATTTCGGCAGATTTATAATCAAAATCAAGATATGCAAAATTCAAAAACGATGACTTTTTGAAAAAGATAAGATTCCATTGAGACTCCGATGAATAAAGGAATTGCACACACTCAAAAAAATGTGTATGAACAATGATAAAATTTTGAGTGAAATAAAATAGGCTGCTCGTGTGGAAATAAAATAGATTCGTTCTTTCCCAAAAAAGTATGAAATTCAGATGTTGCTGGTTTCAATGCAACTCGAAATGGATATTATGTAGTATTTCAGAGACCATTAAAAATTAAAATAAAAACCTTTCTTAATGCATTTCATACTTTGAGGTGTTTATATTGAACTTGCCATTATTAAATCTGAATCAGATTCAATGAAAAAGAATTTCAAGGTTTATAATTAAAAAATAAGAAACAAGGATTCACAATGGAGACCCGTCAGGTTCTAAAGGCGTGGTAAGTCCATAAAAACCTGAAAACAACAGACTATAGTTTTGTCCTTTTACAGATATAATAGGTTACTCCACCCAAACAGATCATAGGGGTGTAAAAATACCTCGATAAATTGATGTATTGTATTGTGATGCAGAGGGCGTCGATATGGACATCGCAGCATAATGTGATTTTTAAAAAATACATTCTGGAAATATATAATGGACATGTTTTTTTTCCTTAAAAGTGGAGTATATGAGTAATCAAAATGGCAGGATATAATAATAATAATTTTAAAAAGTCAGATTTCTTTTTCCAGCAATTGAAAAGAAAATTTAAATCTTTAATTTTATTTAATCTTGTTTTTTTTTAAAATGCAAAAGATTATTTGAATAAATTTCTTTGAGAAAGACAATTTTTATTCCTTAAAATCAATAAATAATTATGGAGAAACCAGCAAATGTATAATCTTGATATATCATGATTTATTACGATATTTGTTTGAAATATGGTGATGCATCGTGATACTTTTTTCCCTCACGACATACAGTCCTACCAGATAATGGCAATTTGACAGATTTAAAAATTATTAACAAAATATCCTGTTTTTTTTTTAATTTTTAAAATCGTCAGTTTAAGTGCTTTTTTTCTCTGGTAGGGGGTCCATGGATTTAAGAGATGACATTCTTTTTTCTTTAAGCAGCTTCCTTTCAGCAGCCACTCGGTTCTTTTTCTTTGCTTCCATAAATACAAGTACAGCCAGAATGATCAAAACAAACTGAAATATTGGAAATTATGTGTCAGAATAATGCACACAAAGTGTAAAGACAATTGCACACAAGTTAATAAAGAAAAGCCTAGAGATTCCTTACCTGAATAGCAAATCCAATACAGTATGCAATTGCAATAAAATCTTCACTTCCAAAAGATGTATCCCAAACAATGTCAAAGCAGCCCTGTTTGTGAAAATGTACAGCATTACGTGGTTTTAAAAACGTTGACAACATGGTCATTTCAAAAAATTAAAACAATATGAGGAAAATACCGTTATTGCCGTGTTTCCGGTGGAAGTTTGTGTTGCACATGTCAGATTGTCAGATTTAGGTAAAGGATCACAGCACACAATTGGTGTCTTTAACGTGTATGCTGAAGTTGATGTGCTAACTATGCGTGTCCAGTTTGAACGTTCGAAGTCTTTGTAATTAATCAATCCACAACATTTATACTGCAATTTGAAATGTTTTGCAAAATATTAATTTTTAAATATGTATTAGGCACTTATTTGGTAATATAAAATCTGAAGCCTTTCATGGCATGTGAAACATGGAATAGAAAAAGAAATCCAATTTCATTCTTTGGACAATTTAATAATGGATAGTTTACCTTGACCATAACAAAATTCCAACCCAAAGTCTGAACGTTTTTCCCTGCCAGTCCCGTGTAATCCTTCAATGTCATCAGGACTATCCCTTTGATTGAATCAGTCACCTGTAAAAATGACTTCAGGTGTATTTGTTTTGATAAAATAATCACACTATTCAACAGATCTGGTAACAGAGCATTTGTATCTTTGAACTTAAGACGACAAAAATTGTTCACATCTTCTTGTTCTTTTAAGTTATGTTACTTTGGCATCTAAAATAGCACAGTATATGTATTTAGATTTATTGAATAAAATGTTTAATTGACCACATTGTCTAATGGGAATTTTAAAAAATACACTCTAGTAAAACTTTTTGCATGCTTAAATTTAATGTCAATTTATCGTCTTCTGGCTCATAGTTAGGATATACTAGTATACTATAAATCTACATGTAAAGATTCATAGTATGATAATATATTGTGTGTAAGTGTCTTACAAATTGTATCTGATTTGAACGTCTGCATTGTATTTGCCATATAAATGAAATATGATACATGTATATATGTGCGAACCCATCTGGACATTCCTAGCAAGAACAAAAGCAGTGAAACATTTTATCGAAAGTCCCATTCATGACGAGTTGTGCACGTGCTGCTTTCAGGGACATATTAATATAGAGCCATTGGCTGTAATCGAAGGCAACATCTCACCAAGAAGTAAAAAATCGGTTGTTTTACCACTCGATAAAATCAATGGAAATATTGGACTTTTATTTTTAGTACAGGTTGATCAAGGAAACTATTTTTGATTAAGATTTAACAGATTGTTACATAAACAATTATTACACAAAGAAGAATACATTTTTCACTTGAATTAATTTGATGTTTATAAAAATATTTTCAACTATTTATTTGGCATAAGACATACCAATTTTTCATCAGTGTAGACGATTATGACCAATATAAGCTCCACGGCAAGCAAGAAACTGGTCAGGAAAATGTACTGAAATGCAAACAATGTTATTCTTCATAAAATAATAATCACATATTTGAATTTATACAAATGTTTGGATATCTTCTTCTTCTGTCAAGTTATTTTGCATATTTTTAGATACATCAGTTGGAATAGGCATAGATATAAAATATATTCTTAGATTAATTTCTTAACTCGTATTTAGTGAGATATACTGTAATTAGTGAGACATACTGTAATTAGTGAGCACTTTGCTTTACAACATCCTCCACAGCATCCAAACATAGCCACGATCATAATCACTCCGCAGGAAACGGCCAGCATCAGGCCAATGTCGTAAAAAGCGCTGGAAAGCGACAGACCAGAGTACTGGTTCTCCGACCCCAGACCTGTGGCCACCAGGGTATCCTTGAGCAGTTTCATCACAGAGTTACTGTTAATCAGATGGTCAATCACACCTACATCTGGCAGAATAATCATGACCACGCCTACTCCTATAAATACTAAACATGTTGTCTGAAACGAAAATGAGATAAAAATGGGCAAAATTTTCTTTTATTAATGACTTAATTTTGCAATAAAAGATGTCAAATTGCCAACAAATTTAATTTTTCTTGCATCACTTGTGTCTCAAATAAAGGTCCACATCCTAAAAATGAATTATAGGAGAGAGCTTATATAGACGATGTCTGTTCTCCAAATCTTTTAGGTTTATAACATAATTACATAATAATATATCTAATAATATTTATTTCAATGGATTAAATTAAATCAAATTTCCAACAGGAAATGATATTGGGCAGCAGGTAAAAGTGTACCGGGTCCTGTAATTTATTTTTAGGTTGTGGACCTTAGAAGTAGAGTAGAGCAAGTCCTACTTGACTTATCTTACCCATTTCAAAATTTCTTAATGTATCTTTGAAATTCACAGCCTTTTAGTATATCAAATTATAGAGCATGATATTTTCGCTCATCTGATTATTTTGGCCCGTATTTTCATACAATACTTACGACAACTGTGCCGTTTATAAGAGTCAGGAAAAGGCGGGTAAAACAAGATAAATATCCCATCTTCAATGTCCTGAAAACATCAACATTATAGCTTAATCTGCATTCATAGGAATATATCACTTTTCCTTGCTAGGAGATTTTAAAGGTGTGTTATGTTTAAACCATGAAACTATATCCTCTTAACCAACTCTTTAGTTTTACATCAATTAAAATACTACAGTATTCTGTTATTTAATAAAAGAGTTCGTAATAAGAATATCATTTGTAATGAAAGATAAACTGAGACTTGTAATCATTTTTCCCCTTTTCCATTACGAAAAGTTTCATATACAAGTTACATGTATCACAGAATGAATTTCTCTTTTGAAAATAATGTACATTTTAAAAATAATTTAATGTACTTTAGCGTTTACTTCATTAAAAGAAACTAAAAATATATGTAAATAATGAAACACAAACCTGAGTTAAGTGTTCAGTCTGTGTAATTTGTGCTCTAGACAACTGGGAAGAGAGCCAAGTTCAGAAAGGTTACTCTTAAAGACAAAACGAAGAATTCTTTTGATTTTGATTGTATATTATTTTTTAGGAATAATTTTTATTTTTTGCAACCCTGAAAATTGTTATTTAGTAAATGATTATAAATTTCGATGTATAATTAATAATTTAAGCAGAATATTCCTAATAAATCAATTCATCTGATCATGACATGCAAATGTATCGTTTAAATTATTATGATATCGAGTATCCCTTTTTTAATACTCAAACAATTACAAGAGCCAGCATAAACACAAAGAAATTCTACCTTATTCAAAATGAATTTAAAAGGATTGACAATGACATCTCTGATTTCCATGTTTATCCACATATAACTGGTCAGATGATACGGACGTTAATCAGAAGACGTCAATAGAGAACATGGCCTGTCCTTATACTCATTTGTTTGTTGTTTGTACCAACACTGTATATGTGGTAAGATTTTGTTCTAGTAAAAATAACAAACTATAAATCCGCTAAAAACTAAGCATCTTTGCAAACTAGAACTGTTACTCATTATACCTATAATTAAGTTGAATGATTTCTTGAGAATTCTGCATTTAAACAATGCCAGAAGCTTTACCTTTCTTTGAGACTATTTTCTTTTAAAACCATTATTTTGTTCATTATTTCTTAATTATTTTTACTTCTCCTAAACAGATCCTTTTCCTAGTTCTGGTCGCTGTAGCTTTTACCGTACATTTCCTAAAGATCCCAAATGCCCTCGCCCTTTATAAGGGTTCAGTTATTACTGACATCAATGACGTCATACTAGCCACAGGTCTTGGGGACGCAGATTACTATGGTGATCGTGACCTGGTGTTGTTTTTGTCCAGTTTCCTGTTGGTGATCTTCATTGCTGGACTGGTGCTCTTAGTTGTAGCATTTACCGGCTGTTATGCCGGATGCTGCAAATATTCGGCTATCTCCAAACTGGTAAATCTGATTTCATTTTGTGAAAAATATCAAAAAGAATTTTAATTTTGAACTTGAAAAAAATTTCATTTAAACTGTCAGTATGAATTTGTGTAATTAATTTAAATTCTTAAAGTTATGAAAGCTTAAGATAAAGTATAGAGGTAAAATGTAACTTAAAGGAATTTATAGTACTGTGAATTGTTGAAAAATTCAGCCTCTTCCTTTAAAGTACGCAGTGGTCCTTATCCTAATGTTGGTTGTGGAGTTTATGCTGGTGATTGCCGTATATGGGTTCCCCAACAGTTTGGTAAGATGGTTAAATTAACTCGAAATCAAAAAACTTTAGCATCATACACTACAGATGAATGATATACAACAAAAAACGTGCATGTATTTCTCGAATAAAAACTTTACTCTTAAGTAATACTTTTTCATCAAATATGCACTCCCTTTAGTTACCCGAATGGTTGGTTAAAAATTACAAGTTAATACGTTTTTATGTTATGTTTTATAAAAGGTGATGGGTTCCATCAAATCAACGATGACATCATTTCTCACGTCAAGATACGAGGGACTTGTCGGAAACAGTACAGAAACATTTGGCTGGAACTTCATTATGTCCAAGGTTAACTTTATGATGATTGAGAGAGGTTTCATTTCAAACTACTTCTTATACACCTTCTCTTTTATAATGTTTAGACAGTTGTTGATCGTCGTCTCTCCTTATCACTTGTAATCATCAATTTCTCCGGGGTAAGAAAATCATTTTATTCCATTTTGCAAACTAATAAGCCAAGATAGAGAAAATTTCTTCAAAATTAAAATAAAAAATGTGTTTCTTTTTTCTTCTATATGTGGAAAAAATTTTCTCTATCTTGGCTTAGTTGGAGTTTCATCTTTTAAAATAAAATGCTCCTGAACACCTAACAGACAAAATGTATGTTCATAAGAGTACATGTAGTTGAGAAGCTACATAAGGAATTCACCCTCATATATATCGCAGTTATTTTATATAAGTCCTCTATATAAACCATTTCTTCCAGGCTCGGAGTGAATGGATATGTTGCTATAGTCTTTTGAAATTGCAAATCTTTTGAATTTTATTTAAATTTTATTCAAATTTTGTAGCTGAATCAGATTTAAAATGAATGCCAAGAAATTTTTAAGAAGCAGTTCTTAAGATTATGTAGTCAAAAATTTTAACAATTTCCGAGCCTTGAAAATAGGAAGAATGTTTATAACGCAAATCTATATTGAGTACCACAACTAAATTTAGAGTTGAACAAATTGTTTACATGTAAGTGAGGATTTGTGACAAGATATTATTTATCGTATGTTTTAATGAAGTAAATATTTCTTTCCAGGTTTGTAAACTTTATCATTTACTTAGTTTCTTTCATATTCCCTAAGGGGTTTATATAGTCTCTTCCTTCACGTTGCATGCTATTAATAATACTTTTCATATTTCATTAAAAAATCCATTCAAACACATTAACTACTTTTTTCGCGTAAATGTCAACAAAATAAGCATGAATAATTAAAAGAATGTTATTTAGGTAAAGTTTTTAAAATATTTAAATCAAAGTTAAGTATGAATTATATCTTTCTATTTGTTTTGAGAATAATCTAGCATAAGGGGTTATCAAAAGTTCGTGGACTAGCGCCACAAAATTAAAACCGCTTTAGGTACATCAATAAATTTTAAGACATTTGGTTACTACCTTCTTTTTCTATAAATAGAATAAACCATAAATCATAAGTTATATTTTTTTAAAATAAATTGTTAATGTTTTTGTAAGCAATGGTATATATGTCCAGGCGGCGCAACCTCAAATATGAGGTTTTTTTTTTATTTGGGTGTAACTGAGAAAAACCTCATTTGATATGAGCATTTGTCATAAAAAATTCCGTTAATTCAGGCATGTAGTACGAAACAATTTTTCCGTAAAATTTGAAATTTTTACCCCATTCTGTATCTTCAATGAAATTTTATCGTAAATTTTATATGGAGTGTCCAAACAATAAAGGGTTTGAAAATGACGTCAAAAAGTGGGAGGGTTTTCTTTTTCCAACATTCTATAAAGTTTTGCACCTGGAAAAACTGGTATAGACCTAGGGGATGTTTAAACGGGCTACAGAAAAATAAAATACATCCAAAAGTACTTGTTTTTAAATGCCCAAAAAGATTCAGAGAGATGAAAGATGCACAGTTAATGTTGATTTGTAGTCAGGGTGTCAAACGTCAGTCACGTCGAAATGTGTTGTAGAGATTGAACTCCAATCAGGTAAGTATTCTATCATAATCAAGTGAGAATCTTTTTCTATGTATAAATCCATTTACAATATTAGTATGCATTGAAAGCAGCTGTTCGTGACATGGTAAAGTCATGAAAACAAGACGGGTTTAAGTTCTTACTTAACTCCAGGGAATCTCATTAAGATAAGTGTATGAGGTAGAGAGAGCTGACATTGAGAAACAATGACGTTGTCGGAAGTCATGAAACTAGACGGCGACAGCGCCGGGTGATCATATAATGTTTTTTTTTTAAAATAATTTGCCAAATTTATCAACGTATCAAGCTAAAATTTTCAACATTTCTTAAACTTTTGTTGTTTTATGTTACTTATAAATTTTGCAAGCACAGACTACATACACATGTAGTATTGATTTTATCCCAGCCTGTCAGTCCACAAACTTTTTGATAACCCCTCGTAAACCCTTTCTCCCCTAATTGATTCACAAAGTTAAAGTTACATGCAACAAATTCTAAATCAGACGAACTAATAAATTTTATAATTTGGAATGGCTTGTGTTGTTAATCAGATTATTGCATTAGTATAAGCAGGAATATTCTTAATTAACACATGCTTTCATACTAACATATATACGTGTATTCAGATAGACATATATAATAAATTGTTTAGAATAATACTGAATAAATTTTGTTCCTTTTGTTCTCCTTGTAAAGCAAAGGGCGTAATCTTGCTTAAAATTACATGACAATGAATACTTTTTCATCTAATTAAAAAGATATTATTTCATCAAACCACGGCTTCTCGTCAGTGCCTGAACCTATGGCAAGCCCTTTTGCTATTTAGTCGGAAATAAGATATCTCTTAAAATTACAGAAATGCCTCTTATTTTAGAGAGATATCTCTTAAAAACAGAGATATCTCTCAACTTAAGAGATATCTGTCTAAGAAAGAGATATCTCTTTCACTTAGAGAGTGTACCAGTAATATATATAAAAAAAATTTATCTTACAGAATTTTACCTTACATAGGTACAGAAATCCAGAATGAAAATGTATGATTATAGAACTGGACATCTGTTCTTGTAAAGTATCATTGGGACTTAGGTTTCTGTAATGAACAATTCAGAAATAGCTATATTTGTTACAAACTCAAGAGACATGTACTATGTCAGAGAACAGGTCCTGTTTCCACGATATTGTTTAGGTATTTACTTAAAATACATATTATAATCTACACACATTGTAACGAAAAACACAATTTACACTTTCGCTTCTGTTAGGGCATATTATAGGTTCCTATATACATACAAAAATAAAACCTTAAAACAATCTGCATTATGTCAAATTCATATGCGGATGTCTAGATTTAGAACAGGTATGAATTTCTTCATTTCCTGATACTGAGTTCAAATCTGGGTCACAATAACGACCTACAGTTTTAACAAAGATAAAATCAAAGTTTCTATAAAGTAAAGCAAATTTCCAAGAGCATTCATCAGTTTTATTTTCTTGTTTGTATATGAAATGATCGGTGACAATGCTAATTCAATGCTCATAAATGCTGGTCTACGTCGTTATTTATTGGAGATACATAATGGAATAGCTTTATTTGTGGTTGATACCTTAACTGTAGGTTTACTGTTTTTGATTCTCAAAGCAAACTTCATGGAGACAGTTATTTTGTTTTAACTCAGATCGTCGCCATTAAATAACAGATTATTAGATTTATTTATCACCTGTTTAAGCGGAAATTCATAATTTATTGAAGACATTTACCCCTCATGATTGTCAGGAAAGGGAGACTTAATAATAAAATTATGGTTGTTAGATAAAATGTTTACCATGTTTAATTCATGAATGTTATTATTACTTCGTGGTTGCTAATTTGCGAGCATAATCTAAAACTTATTAACTTAAATTTAAAGATGCACATGTATTTGACGAAGCAGTCTTAAACCGCATGTGATCTCATTTACCTAAAAAAAACAACATGCAAAGCAAGTAATAACAAAATAAAACAAAAAGGCAACCTGAAGTGTGAAATAGACATATACCTATTAACATCAATGATATCTATCAGTATAATGTTTTCAGAAAGGTTGGAAATGTTAGAAACTTCCCAGCTATTTTCCGTTCAGTAAAATGGTATACAGTTGTCTTGCATTTCATTTTAGTATCAATGTTGTGGTGTTTATGGATACAATGATTTCAAGGGGACAAATCATTGGAAGTCTAATGTTGTCGCCAAGGGAAATCTATATACATTGAAAATCCCAATTGTGTGTTGTGATCAACTTCCTACTTCCGGGAATTTGACATGCGCAGAAGCTACCACCGGAATCAATGCAAATAAGGTACAAAAGAGAATGAAACACAATAATATAGCATATTTGTGAGCATCGCAAGTAGTTAACATAGGTTAAAAATATTTTCTTTCACAGGGATGCTTTGAAGAGTTATGGAACGTGTCTTTGGGAAGCCCCCCAGTTGCTATTCTGGCCCTAGGAGTGGGGTTGATTTTACAAGTGAGTGTAAATATTTGCAGTCATCAGTATTCTTAAATTTCTTGGTAGTATTTTTTTTCAGCAGAACTGTAGGTGAAAGCTAAGATATATTCTTTTTGATCAAGCAAAGTAAAATGAATACAGAATTATTTCATATATTTAGTTAATTATTTATATAAAATTAGCTGGAACAGGAAACCAATTTTCTTTGGTACATGTACTCAATTACATCCTTTCTTTGACATTTTATAATGGTGCTTATTCTCTGTTTTCCGCTCATCCTTAAAATAAAATGATAAATAAGGTTTTCCTTTTAAGGCCCTTTGTCTTTCCATTAAATGGAATACAAACAATTATTTTTCAGCTTTCACTAATTTTTGCTGCGTTTAATTTATCGGACAAAGACAAGAAGGGAAGAGTTGAACCACACCTTGACAAGTGGAACAAGTAGTGACATATTGACTGAATGTCATTGATTGATCCATACAGCATGAAAAAAAAAGGAATTGTATTAGTTTTGTTATTGTTAAAGTTTTGATGAATATTGAAATTGTTTGTTGTAAGTTATTATAGTTTATAAATTATACTTTGTTTTTATCAAAACACAGGACGAGTGTTTTGATGACTTGGTTGTTACATATGAGAAAATAAACTTGCGTATTCTAATAGTCTTGTGGTGAAAACTCCATGTATTACCCCAGAATACAAATCTAATATCCAGAGAGAGGAAAGACTTTTAGGATAAAGCAATTTCAGTCAAAATCAATAAAGTGTAAGTAAGATGCTTAGATTAAGTTAAACGGCAAAAAAAAAAAAAAAAAAAAAAAAAAAAAAAAAAAAAAAAAAAAAAAAAAAAATATATATATATATATATATATATATATATATATATATATATATATATATATATATATATATATATATATATAACACTTTTTCTAACTAATTTGTAACTCAGTTATAAGCTTGTTGTGTAGGTTTTTTTTTTGTTTTGTTTTTTTTAAAAACTGTGGCTTAATTTATTCAATGTTTTCTTACATCTTCACTAATTTGTCAATTTAAGATACAAGATTCTTTGTATGCCTAATTTTTTAAGGCTTTTTTCTGTGTAAAATTACAACGCATGGTTTCTCTTACTCTTCTGTAACTGAAGGGAGTTTATTTTTTTATCCAAATAACAACGAGCCATTCTTACTTAAGATGATTGATAATCATGATAATTTGATAAAATTCAAAAATAGCAGTTATATGACAAGATGAAGCTGAAAAATCAATCAAGCTTTGTTGTACTGACATATCTTGAGTAAACTGTTCCTCAGTATTATAAACAGTTAATCCTGAAATCATTAAATGATCTCCTATGTGTAGTCATGCATAAAAAGGGTCATGAAGTATATTTCAAAGGTTCCAATAGCGTTATTTGACTGGCACTCGCCCAATTTCCAAATTGAATTTTATTGCTAGACATAAAATATGCAGGAGTACTGTAGTTTTGCTTCTCTTAAAGTGCAGTTATAAAATGCGTTCAGTTAATTTCGTACATTTTATTAACTGCATTGATTAATGACTGATTTTCAATGTATATTAGAAACAGAGGTAAAATTTCAAGTCATTACTCTTGTAAAATGTTAACAATTTCGTTTTTTGATATGATTTCGAATTTTTTTCTCAGCATTTCATCCTTGAAAAACATTTTTGTAATCTAGTATTTGAAAACACGAAACAAAACAAACATATAAAAAGAGTTTTCACATGGTCTCTAAGTCATGTTGCAAAATCAGAGATGCAGAAATCAAAAAAGACCTGTAACCATAAAGACTTGGATTGATATATATTTTTTGACTGATTTTGATTAGAAATGACATAAATAATAAATCCCTAAAATGTAAAGAAATCGTAAGTTTTCTTTGGTATTTAGATGTGCGACTTTTTATGTAATTCTATACACAATTTTTGCACAATTTTTTAACATTGTGACAAAATCGTATAAAAATCTCCCACTTTCCTTTGCAAACATTATTCAGGTCATATATTTGATTATAAATCTATGAAAAATATTGCTGATTTGTGAAAAAAGTTTGTTTGAGTTATTTATCCTTAAAGTTTAGAGAGGAGATGGTAAAATATTACTGGGAAAATCAGTGTGTTTCTTATTCGTTGGGGATTTGGTAAACTTTCGACACTGTCCTCCTGTTTTTTCAGTCTGAGATTTTATTTAATTCCAGCATTACTGTCATGTGGCTGAAATGTATTTAACACGTGACGAAGCTGATTTATTATTTATATCAAGGTCTTTAACAATTAAGGCGTAAATATCACTACGTTATCTTGATTTAATGATGCATGAATACAACACAATAATTAAACCTATCAGCTACACTGTTACTGGAAAAGAAAAAATGTATTATACATTCGTATAATAATAATCATGTTTTTGGCAACCTATCGTGCCTCATGAAAAACATATAAAGTAAAATTAATGTTGTGGCTGTGTTTCTACACAGAAGATATATCTATTCATATATCTATTTTGTGCAGAGAGAAAATAATTAGCCACAGAATAATTATTAATGAAAATTGCAAAAATGATTTGTAAACAAGGTATTCTTAGATACATAAAGAAAGGAAAAAAAAGAAAGAAAACATTAAAGTAAAATACGAGATGCGTTACCATTCAGTTTGTGCTGTACTCGTTTTACTTTGTATGTTCAGAAAATTGTATAAAAAAAGTCTAGAAAAGCGAAAAATTTGATTAATTAAATAAGGCCACGCCTTAGCTCACATTTAACCACCTGGGGTAATATGAATATGTTCAGAAATTATTTTCATTATTGTGTGCTTAGCTTCAACAAGGACAAGGTACGGTAACGATGAAAAAGGTGAAGAAAACGAACAGTAATAAAAAAAAATCTACACAAATACAAATCTGTGAAAAGGACATAAAACACGGACAAAATCCAGAAGGTAGATCAGGTGCCTAGGAGAAGTAAACATCTCCTGTCTACCGGTCACACCTGCCGGGGGCCCCAAGCAATTATCAGGTAGACGGAACATTTTGTAGTCATATTTAGTATAACAACAAAGACCAAACAATTGGTATGAAACAAGACAGCCAAAATTCGACCCAGTGATAGGTTATATTTACTAACAAGGTCATTATAACGATCATAGATTTTACGAAATGCTGACTTTAAACGAGGTTGTTGAAATCTCTGTAACATCAACTTATCTGTCAGTAGCTTGCCTCTTTTTAAAAATTGATCGTACCTAGAGTATGCTCTTGAGTATCGAATACGTTTGGAGACGTAAACATCATATGTAGGTGATAGTTGAATATTAGCTGAAGTCATCTCGTTTTTCATACAATTAGTTGCTAGTTGGCCCTTACTGTCTGTAGTCAGTAAAACATCCAATATGAAACAGGTGTTGCAGATTCTGTGGTGTCAAATTCACTGGTATATAGAGTCGACATATGAATGGAGGTACTCTGTTACTAGTGTTAATAGATAAAACATCATCCATATATCTGAATGTCGAGTTGGAGTCCACAGCAAATGTTTTCTTCCTCTCATGTAGAAGTTTTTGAATAAATTCTGTCTCATAGGAATATACAAACAAGAAGCACAAAACGGATCGCTAACAGAAAAAACGCGTATCCCTGGAAACACCAGAGGAGGGATCAGGTGCCTATAAGGAGAAACACTCTTCATGAGAAGAAAACTCCTGCTGTGGCCTTCAACTGATATTTAATATATGTATGACGTTTTATCAATTAGCAATGGTTGCTTTCATTCATATGTCGACTTCATATATCCCAGTAAACTCGAAATAAAAGATACTACATAATTTCATATTTGATTGTTTTACTGTCTATAGACAATAATGGCCAACTACATTTTTTTGTAATAACTAAACTGTATGACAAACGGGATGACTTCAGCTCAACATAATGCAAACTTGATCTATAACTCATTAATGTAGACTCACATACCAAAAATCAGCTCAATATCTATCTGCAAGCATTTAGAAAAAAATGTGCGGAAAACCCTTAAAAATCAAAATGACTGCAATTCTCTCAAAAATCCAAACTTGATCTGTAACTCAAGAAGATACACTCCCATACCAAAAATCAGCTCAATATCAGCAAGCGTTTAGAAAAAAAAGTGCGGAAATACTTAAAAAATTTAAAAAGACCCTCAAAGGTCATTGAAGCGGAACGAAATCCAAACTTCAAATACCTACATAGCGAAAATCAGCTCAATATCTGCAAGCATTTAGAAAAAAAGTGCGGAAAACCAAGTAGGACAGACTGACAGACAGACGGATGGACAGACAGACAGACAGATAGATAGCTAGAAGGACGGACAGACGAGGAAGAAACCTATAGTTCCCTACGGTTTCACCAGTAGGGGACTAACAATACATGCGTAAAATGAAGACATTTACTACATCAGGGTCTGTGTACAGATATAAATAAAAAAAAATAAGTTATTTAGTTAACACGCATTGATTTTGTATAATACATGTATGAATATTATTCTGCTGCATTATCTTATTAATGTCTTTGTAGAGGACTATATACGAATTTCACACAAAACATTATAGTAATTTGGTTGTTTATGTTGTATAATATCCATCTGCATCCTTTCTCATAAGCAATTTGCAAATTAAGCAGGCAACAAAGTTGATAATTATTATTTTTTTTCTATGTTTTCAATATTTGAAGTTTATATTGATGTCAAACAAGGACAATCGTTAAATACCGATTAAGAAATTTAATTTCATTTATCTATTCACTTACAAATTTATTTCTTAAAGAAAAAAAATGATATTATGATTTAACACATAACGAGAATTTAGATTTATTCTAGACCGATAGAAAAGTATATGATTTTTAAACGGTTAGGAAATTTTATTTTTTAATCAGTAATGAAAATTGAAATATAATTCTATTTTTCTTCTCTCATTGAACAGCTAAAAAATAATGTACTTATTTTATCAATATTTTGTCGTTTTATTGATAATTTAAATCATTCTTTTTTTAATCAAATCAATGGCCAGCAATTATCACCTAAATTTAAACTGAGTTTGCGGAGACTATGTGTATGTACATGCTTGACCACAGCCTATTGTTTCCCTTAGGTAGAAAACCCTCTCAAATCACATAGAATATACAAAAAATACACAGTAGCAAGTGTTTTCGCGACACGTGTCTCCACCTGTGGCACGTGAGAACAGGTACCCGCGATTACAAGGGTCAGCTCAATCTGACCAGTTTACACTGATTTTTATGAAATTAAAAGTTGTATTAAATCTTCTCTGTTAATTCCAATTCACGTATCTATATGACTTTTACCGAGACGAAAATGTTAAAAATTATTTAATTTGGGTTTACGGTCACAGAATGTTCAATTTTATTACACAGAATTACACTAACAGTTTTCTTATTATTCTTTTGATACAAAAATGATACATAGCGGGTTCCAGTAAATGTTCTACCAAGCCTCTTTCTTTACTTCTCACTAAAATATTAACAGTAGTGAAGGAGAAACTTCAGGAGTACTGTGCAACAATATATTTAAGAAGTGATGTAAATCAGATGTGGATACTTAAAAATTCCAAGGAACTTTTGGAAAATTTGAAATCACAAATTTTTACCAAAATCAACAACATAAAAACTTACGACTTTTCAACACTTTATACAACCATTTCCCACGATAAGTTAAAGTCCAGGCTTTTTGATATCATTGACAGCTGTTTTTTTTCAATAAAAATGGAACTCGTTAATTTACTTACCTAGTCATTGGTCGTTTGCAAAATTATTTTGTTAAAAAACATTCTGATTGTACATACAAACACTCTGAAGATGATATTAAAAAGATGCTTGAGTTTCTGATTGACAATATCTTTGTGGTTTTTGGAGACCAGGTCTTTCAACAATCTATTGGAATTTCCATGGGTACCAATTGCGCCCAGTTATTAGCAGACCTATTTTTTGTATTCATATTCCATGTCGGGAATCTACGTGGAAACCACTACTGCATGTTTCCACGGTTTCCCATATTGGGTAACTTACGGGAAACCACAGGTTGGTTGTTTCCATATAGGGAATCTACTTGGAAACCACTATGTGGTTTCCATAAAATGGAAACTATATGGAAACTACTGATGTCACGATTCCCATATGTTTCCATCGGGAAACCTGGCTTTTCATCCTATGTATAATTTCAGCCAAACTCTGTCGCTTCAGGCAAATGGCTCGGATCAAAGGGTTTCTAGAAAGTAAGCACTACGAGTCATTGACTTTTATTCCAGGTGGGATTAGAACAGAATTAATATGGTGGATAAACCAATTCGAAATTTCAAATGGGAAATCAATCATAGCCTCAAACCTATCAATGATTCTTACATCAGATGCCTCAGGCCTAGCATGCGGGGCCATCTACAAAACACAGAAAGGTTTTAGTCCCCAATAGATAAATCCTATGACATAAATGCAAAGAAACTCTTGACAGCATTTTAGCACTTCAATTATTCTCAATTCAAAGAGAAATATTCATAAAATTAGACGACGTACCAACTGTAGCACACATAAACACAATTGGTGGAACAAAAATAAATTAGTAAATCATCTGTTAAAACAAACACATAAGATTGATAAAGTAAAATTCTTTAGTTGTAATCTCGTTTGAAATTGGTGATAAAATGAATATTTTCACAATGTTTTTGTTTGTAACCCCCCCCCCCCCGTTGAAACAACGAAAGCTTTGGATGAATTAAATAATACTAGTAATTCATAATACCTGGGGGGGGGGGGGGGTAAAAATAATTTCCATTTTCAATTGAAAAAACACAAGTTTTACCAATTTATAGTTATCTCAGCAATTCAAAGAATGGGTAAATTTCTTATATGGCTATTCACTACATCCATGTTCGCCACATGTGATCCACATAATTATATGACTTTCATAAGTGGATCATATAATTTGCTTCATATGAGTATATGGCACTTTTTCTTATATAGCATTAGAAAATCATGAGTGACTCAGTTGATCAAAAATAACATAATAATAATAGAAGTTACACTTCCACTGGATCTACCCTATATCTTTAAATCTCACGACTAATTGGGATGTTCACATTATACCCGTAAGTATGAATTGAACTTATAAAAATCAATGTGCCTCAAAGAAATAAGTACATGCACTAATATAAAATTCATTTTACGAGAATGAAAAAAAAATATTGTAAAAATAAAAGGTGACTAGAGAATAATTTCACTTTTATAGTTTAGACATTTTCAAGGTTTTTCAGTAGTATCTTTGTTTTACCAGTATGCTGGTTTAATGCATGTATTTCAACACATATTATGCATCAAAATCTTCACGAGCGAGTCGTTTCTTAACGAATCATATCTTTACTTTGATCACATCGTCAAAAATAAAAAAATTATGAACCACATCACCTCACAGTAATGTGTATCATTTAAAGTTTAAATTTAAACTTATCTCCAACTTTCTAGCTATAGAGAACTTTTAATAATGTACCAAATGTCTCGATTACATCTTTGCTTCAAATAACCATCTTTTTAGGAAGCCTATCCGATTTTCTCTTAAAAATATTAAAAAATATCAATTTCTAGAATCAAAATAATAGCTAGAATAGCGAAGAATATGCATGATAATATTTTCTCCAATATCGTTATGTCAGTTATGTATATGATTGGTTGCTGTGACGTCATATTGTTCATCATCATGCACTAAAGCTACATTCCTGTATTAATAAAACTCACATTACCAGAAAAACACCAACACTAATTCATGTGAGTGTTTGATTGGTTGCTTTGGCGTTATATTTTTCATGTTTCTCTATATGTACAATTATGCAGAGGCCCTAATGGAAACACACACTAGGAGAAAAAAGCCAGCACTTTAAACAGTTAAAGGTTTTCATATGAAAATAAAATGTCCAATGTGAACAATATATTTGAAGAAAATGAATGATTTTATTTTTTATTTTCCATTTTAAATGGAAATACACTCGATTTGAAATCCATTTTTTGTTCACCTCTTTCATTACTAACAATCTGGCATAAACATGTATCTGACATAAGCATGTGTGAAAAAGATTCTAAAATTAAAATCTAAAAAAAAAAAAAAAGGCAGAATAGAGTAAATGTGGTTTTAAGATGTGAATAAATTGCTGGCAATTGTGGATACATGCATAACGTTGTTAATGATTTATTCGCCTTAATTATAAATTCATATTCATGTCGTGTAATCTCGTCATGATTTCCACAATGTATTTATTTTACTACAGGGAAGCCATCAGAAGGTAGGAATAATTTTTCACTCCCAATTTTTTTCTTTGCTTTGTTTTGTTTTTAATTGTTTAAAACGATAAGAATTTTATCATTTTAGGATTATTATTTTATAGTGTGTAATTTATAATAAGAAAGCTTCTTTATTAAAACAAGATTTTTTACGCCCTACTTAAGAAAATATAAATTATAAATAGAATTCAATACTAAACATTAAAAAAAAATCAATTTTAATTGTAATTGAATGAAATTAAAAAATTAAAAACAAAGCTTGAAAATATTTTATCTCAAGAAAAATTGTATTCCAATAAAAAAAAATTAAAAATAAAATACGAGATAGAAGCAAACGGCTCGCAAATCATCTTACACAATCACTCAGAGTACAAGTCAAAATAAGTAATGTATATCAGTCATTCAGAAAATGAAGCTCAATACTAGACGGAGCTGGCACCGGCAGCAAGCCATTAAGTTTGACAAATTAGTGCGTCAAAACTCGAAACGAAGCAAAAATTCATAAGAATACGGCGTGTTTGTGAAATTTTGATGTCTTATTAACATATAAGGTTACTTGGTATCGTCAAAATGATTGATTCGTTTGACGGCTCGAACTGGCGTTTCTTTGCCTTATTTTAGAAAGATGAAATGAAAATTGTTCTTCCTCAAAACTATTTTTGAATACACTCACCATTTATCGATGTTTTGTTTTAATTTAGGTATATGTTATAGTTATTTCAGATGAGGGTAACGATACCAATATTGCTGGCCCTCAGCGCTCTGGCACTCGGAAAAATAGAAAGAGTGCCCATGCCTGCGAATATGTGCAAGATTTACAGAAACCTTGGTACGGAGTATAAAAAAACAGGAAACACGAAAACGCAGCATGAAATACAGGACCTAGGGCTTAAGCAATATCTTTGGGAAACCGATCGTACCCGACCGTCCAAGAAAATTCCCGACGCCACAGTGAAATACATCGAAAGTTTAGACAGAGAGATTTACAATGCAGCCAGCCAGCAAGGTAGAAAAAAGAGGCAAGCTGGGTGGTACCGTGGCGAACGGAAGGAAATTCGAATGCTTAGTGATGAAGAGAGGCGGGCAGTTTTTAATTGCTTTAACACACTTAAACAAACTAAGGTAAATGTACAGGTGAAAATTAAAATTTTATAAGTATATGAATAATTCTCTGTAATCACATAACTACTGATACACCCATTGAATTTCACGCTCTACATGTATCTGAAATAGCTAAAATCATTTCTGCGTTCATTTTATTTAAAATCTGTTTCAGACATTAGAGCCCAATGTATACGATGCTTTAGCTAGTGTTCATCACGGTGCAACTACTCCAGTAGCTCGTTTTGGTTGTGGCTTCCTTGGATTCCACAGAATTTATCTCCTAAGGTTTGTACACCGTTTGCATTAGTCCCCACCCTACTTTGTATCAATTTGGGTCATACCATATCGGCATTACCCTATTATTCAGACTATCATCTTAGTGATATTTTAAGGAACAACAAGTATTCCTATTGTAGTCGACTAGTCCTACTGACGATTACAGATTTTTTCAAATGTGGTCTCAGAAATACAAATAAGGGTGCAAAGTTTTAGAGCAAGTGTATACAAAGAAAAGGATTAATCCCACTAAAATTTATTATGTACAACATGAGGGATTCCGCTGCACAGGAATATGCATAAAAAATCCCAGGTTATGCAAACTCTTTCACTCATATCAAATTTGGTACCCTAATCCAAAGTACCAATTGGTAAGGATCTTCTACAGATTATGGGTAGAAAGGAACACTACTACCGTGTACTTGCCGAAAAAACGGAATTGAAAAATTATTTGAAATCGTTTCCACATTTATTTTTAGATTAGAGTTGGCGATGAGGCAATACTGTGGCCCCACGATAACTATTCCGTACTGGGCAACTACACTGGACGACCCACTTCAAGACCCTGCTTTATCCGTTGTATGGTCTCCCGAGTTCTTTGGAAATGCTTACAATTTCGTGGAAACAGGGCCATTCGCCAACTGGACAGACCGCTCAGGAAGAAGAATATCTCGTAACCTGAATAACATTGGGTCCCTCATCAACGAAAGAGACATTGAACAAGTGATTGAACGAAACAAACATTATCATGACATTTTTTACCGCCCGGAAAATCCATCTGCAGCAAATTTAGTAAATACCATAGAAGGGATTCAGAACAATCCCCACGGGTTTGTGGGAGGAACTATGAATCGAATGAATATTGCATCATATGATCCACTTTTCTTTTTCTATCACGCATTCGTCGACTATATATTTGAAAAGGCTAGAGAGAGTTTTAGGAACAGAGGCTTTAACCCTGCAAACGATTACCCAGAATGCGTAGGCGATCATGCAGCCCAGTCTCCAATGGCCAGCTATACATTCTTTAGAAACATCGATGGTCTGAATGACATCTGGACTAATCAGTACTTTTATTATACCGATCCACCAACTTGTTCAGCACTAAATAGAGACTGTGGGTCAAAATACCTTGTATGCAGAAACACGAGAGGACAATGGAAATGTCAGTCTAGAGTAACTAACTCTGTATTTGATGTTTCTCCAGAGATACGTATGGCATCTTATGCATTGAATGAGCAACTTCCTGGTCAGAGATTTCAAGTAACTAGAGGTAACGTTAACACCGGATTAACTGGTAACATTAACACCGGATTAACTGGTAGCATTAACACCGGATTAACTGGTCCAACGGATCAACTTGGAGGAACAGTTCAACAAAATCCTTGGAACTTAGCTGGTCCCAAAGTAGAACTGCCTGTTTCTCCTCCTCAAACATCTGGTGCTAGTCCGTTTACAGAATCACAAATGGGAACAAATGTTGCCCAGCAATTTGGTGCTGGTGGCAATACATTGTCACAACAGGCACAACCTGATCCCCTTCCTAGACAAATTGGAATTGGCCAACCGCAAAATATCCCTGGTTTTCAAACCTCTGTATTAAGTGAAACAGGTACCTCTCAATTTGGTAGTCAAATGGTACACTCACTGCCAGTTCAACCATCTCCAGTACAATCACTATCAGTGCAATTACCAGTACAGTCACAACCACCACAAGGAAATTTGCACACAGGTGTGCACTCTGCTTTTAACCCTTTTGATCCAAAAAATCAGCAACAAGGAATGAATGGTGCTGGCAATGGCAATATGGAATTACCTGTAATGGGTAGTCCAGGTGGTGGAATGGAACTTCCAGTGATGAATCCTGTTGTGGATCCTGTGAATACATTTGAACCCATTGGAAATCCAATGGAGCAAATAGGTCCTAATCCACAGGTATCTGGTCCAGAATTACAAGTTAGGAATCCACAAACAGTTGCACAATCTCCACCTGTTGTCAATCCCGCTCCAGCAAAATCACCTGTGGATATAGGTCCAAAACCCATTCCAATTACACCACCTCCTAAACCAACAAATCCACCTCAACCTGTTCAGCCCCTAGAACCTCGACCCCAGCCACCTTCCATCATCTCTAATCTAAATCTACCTGGCAATCAACAAGGAGGAAGTGGTAATTTCTTCAGCTGGCGAACACAACCTCAAAATTCATTCAGTATGAGAAGACAGAAACGCAGTGTAAAGCAAGATTTGCCCTTGCCACTTGACAATGAAAGGACTTCATGGGTACACCAACTGGCCTATCCAATTCAAAATACCTTTGAAATTGATGGAGTTGCCGATTCCTCCAAATGGCTTTACGTGCCAGTAAGTGTTACAGTTGTAAGGTCACCAAATCGTACATTTGAGATTCATGGATATGAAAACAGTATGAATTCTCCATATGATATCTATGATCCAATACAGTCTAGACAATTTCAAAGAAGACTGACCACGCAAGCACTACCAAAGCGATCACATTCATCAATAAGTGGTTCTGGTGCTTCCCAGATTTATTTGAAGTCTGATGGCTTGTCTTATGATGGTACCTACATGGACTACGTAATTGTTGATGAACGTTTGCCAATATCAGAGTACACAGGGTTTGTGGCAATAAAAGACCCAAAGTATGGAAAATCTGACACACATGTTTCTGTATTTGACTCACTAGGACAAATTTGTAAACCAAGATGTGCAACTTCTAAATCAAGATCCAACCCCAAATATCGCCCCTGTTCAGGAGTTATTGAAGCTGTCACTTCTTCTCCAGATATGGCTTACAAGAGCATTCCAGAAGCAATAATGGACATGTGGGCCGTCAGAGATCCATATCCTCCTCGCATGTACAGACCAACATACCTTGAATTCCTTTGTGACAGTACAAACACTCTTTACTGGGAAGGCTGTCAGAATGACAGATATCAATAATAATGAAAACAAATTGTGAACTTTTATATTAATATTATTATAAAAACAATTGATTGTGGTAATTTAAATTATATTACTGTAAACGTACATAAATTAGCGCACTCAAAATTTTGTGCAATCTTCCTTATCAGTTGATTACAGCAATCATGAATTAGCGTATTTAGAGCCAGGGTTCTTCGTGTATTTGTTTAAATCATTATATTAGTGTGTACTTGAATAACCAGACAAGGTGCTAAGATATGATTACTGCTAAAATAAGTACGTTTACAATAATTGGAAAAAACTCCTGGAGATTCTAATTACAATAATTTAAGATATCACAACATTTTTGACAATCTTTGAAAGTCATGATTAGGACTCAAAACAGCACTTTTTTGTGTTCATTCCTGAGCTGCAGTGTCTGGCAGTTTCAAAGGAGTTTTGTCAGCATCCTCTTGTGAAAACGAATGGGGTTCTACTGCTCATACATAATGGCAATAAACATTTGTATAAACTAGACATGGATTATGTTTTATGTCAGCTGTTAGTTATCTAAGTCTCTTCACCTGAAAAGACAAAAATACACAAAGACACATATATAATGAGAAAATATTTCAGCATTTATAAAAAATACAAGTTACCATTTCACAAAAAATTCATTTTAACAATACTGCATATACATATTAATTCTGGTAATTAAAGTAAGAGGAATTAAGGTTTGGGTTATTGTCAGAATTTAATTTTAAATTCATATTTATTCAGTACAGAAAATACTCCTAAAAACGATTCAAGTTACATTCAACAAAAAAATTCTCTTATGTTATACAGCAAAGGGTGATATTTTATCCCTTTATTAGGGATCAATATACATAATAATTAATCCTTAAAATATGATTCAGAGAAAATTGAACAGTTGTTTGTTCTCTGAATGTTCAAGAATCTTGCAGGAGAGAGTAATAAAACAAGACACTGTAATTATAGATGGCGTCAGCTGAAATATTTTCCATCTGTATGAAATTTTAAGTGTCTGGAAATTATTCCAGTCTCTTGTAGTGTAGAATTATGTCACTGTGTTGACACTTGCTTAATTTAGTAAAAGCAGTCTATGGCATATCTAAATTATGCAATTCAATTTATCAAATATTTCACAAAAAACTAAACATCCATACAAAATATTTCTTTTAAAATTTCAAAATCAACATGATTTTTTTTTTGTCATAAATGATGAATTACACAGTCTGCCTAACTAGGGAGGTACAGGTCACTCAATCATTTATAACTATCTGCAATATCAGTATCTCCCCAGATGGAGTGGAATCTATTGTTTATGCCTCAAATGTCTTTTGAAAAGTCATATCCATATGGGCATAGCCCTTCTTTTAAATAATAAATATAAGATGCTCATTCTGTAAAGGTGATCAACATTTTAACTGGATTCATGTTTCAAGGGTCGTACTAATGACTATGAGATGCTTAAAGTAATGGATCTGAACAATTTCCCAAATTTCTTTACTTTTCTAGAATTTCTATTACATCTTTGAGTGAACATTTTTCTAAGCTAAGATGGACCTATAACATATCTCTTCACTGTTCTCAATCACCCTAAAAGGTTATGCCCTTTCTCTAACTTAGTTCTCTGCTTGCATTGTACTGTGACTGCTTACAAATTCTTTGGTAATTACATGTACAACTATACTACTAAAATCCTTTCATACTTTACCTTTGATAGGAAAGCATCACATATTTCTATTGTAAACTGTTCTAATGTTTGACCTCCCTGATGACTCTTACTTCTCATTCCCTGAATTCAACAAAAATTAAAAATGCATTCATAAAGTTCTTAAAAAATAAATACATTAGCGATGTTTTATAACCTGGCATATTTTTGTTTGCTTGTTTTTTTAATTTAATGTCCCTCTTAAGAATTTCTCACTTATATGGAGACGTCACCATTTGCAGGTGGAGGGCTGCAAATTTAGACCTATATTTGACCCGCAGATCCATTGAGCAGTGAGGGATCTATTTCATGCCAGCACCTACTGCAACATGGGGCCTCACTTTTTACGGTCTCATTCAAAGGAGCAATCTATTCATCCTGCAAAGAGATTCGAACCCGTGACATAAGGATCAACTACTTACACCCCAACTCTAGAGCAAACACTCTAACCACTGTGTCATGCTTTTGACGACATATTTTTGACAATGAGCTGTAAGTTATCTGGTTCAGGTACCTTAAACGCTTCCCCCTCCTCCCCCCCCCCCCCCCCCCCCCCTTCTTCAGTGGATCCAAAATCCAGGAATTGAAAATGTTTAGGAGTGTTAGAGTGCAATATTGAGATAATATAAAACAAATTATCTTTGAATAAAGAAATAATTTTTTTAAAATACATTCTTTCATCAGACAATTTTGTATTTAATTTATTCATTATATTTATTTGTTGTACAATTGTTGCTTTTGGAAAAATCACATGGATGCTTTGGCAATTGTATGCATACACATTAACCACTGTTAAAAATGACTCTCTCTCTTTCAAATGATATTGTCCTTATGCTCATGCACTGTATTGTTATCATGCATTACATCCATGCTCTATGGAGCTACAGAACTTGCTTTTAAGTTTTGAGAGAATTAATCTTTTTTTTAACTTGGTCAATAAAGATATTGTGTTCATTGGTTTATCAGTCAGTACAAAAGACAAAGAAAGATAACTTCTAAATGCTTCAATTATCGTGGTACATAATTATTACAAAGTGAGTGAAAATTGTTTATTAGAGTCTGTACATTCAATAGTTTAACAATGGTTAATGTGACCCTAGACTGGTGACAGATCTTTACTGATGTGAATGACTGACTCATTGATTATTCACAAAGAAATGGTCGCCCATGTGGTGCATTGGTAGAGCGTCTGCTTTAGAGTCACGGAGTAAGTTGATCCTTACATTGCGGGGTCGAATCCCACTGTGGGACGTGGAGACCAGTCCTTCGGATGAGACCGTATAAACCGAGATTATGTTGCTGTGAACAAGTAAACTTTACCTAATATGTTTTACACATCCTGTGTGCATACATATAAATTATACTAAGTCAGAAAGAAGAACTATCAACTATCCAAGAGTTGGCAAAATTGCAAAAGAAGATAACACAATTTTTACAAAAAAAAAGTTGGATAACAGTTTCAAAATGGATGTGGACAAAGTCATTCCTTTCAAAAATGAACTATCATGAGAACAGATACTCACCCTCTCTAGAGCATAAAAAAGACCATCAGGGCCCAAGTTATAGCCGGCCTCTACAATTCTACAAAGAGCAAGACAAAATTAACCTCTAAATGTAGGGGTGGGAGGGATAGAAGGAAGTAATTAATTAACTTAACTTAATAAGTAATTAAGGCATAAGAATCATACACAGAGGAGGTAACTGTTCTGTCAAACAAAAATGTTTACATTACTCATGACAAGATTTATTCTTGATAATTTAATTCAATCTTCCTCTGTCAGAAGTAAAGTTGATAAAAGGGTACATGAAGAAAGTGATTTCTAATTAGTTCAGGAATCAACTAGTTAAGATAGAAACAAGAGGTCCATAGGCCACAAACCTCACCTGAGCCACATATCACAGCTTGAGAAATGGACATGTACAAAAATGAAATCAGTTAAGGCCAAACCCTAATTTTGAGAGCTGTGACCTGATCAATTTGAATATATATGAAATGTGGATGCTTCTTCTGTTAGTCTGGGGGGAGGGCAATCAAACTGAAATCTATATAATGTCATGGTTGTAGCATGTATAATTTGAGTAACTGTGACACTCTTGTGCTTTAGAGGAACTTTGCAGTGTACCCTATAATTCCTCTGTAAAACTTCTAATGACTATAGAAACGCTTAAGTAGACCAATCTAACCCCTGGTTCAATGGTTTAAACTGAATCTACAGTAAAACTCAGTAGGCTGTGGCCCTTAAGCTTATTTGAATATATGTCACACAAGGATGCTTTGTGGCAAGTTTGTTTGAAATTGACTCTGTGGTTCTAGGGCAGAAGATAAAAATTAATGTGAAAAGTTCACAATGGCACACACATAGATATATGCTGAACAAACTCTGATCAGAAAAGTTTACTTAAGCCCATAAAATAATGGCTCAGGTAAGCTAAAAGGCAATTATACTAGTTTGCAAAAATTGAAAACTGTGCCAATATTTTGAACTACTATGGTGAATTATATCAAAATGGTAAAATGTCTATTACAAGTGTATTACTTTTAAGATATAAAAACATGGATTCTTGAAAGAAAATCTAAACAATATGATTAATATCTCTACTTGATCATTTTCATTGTAATACATTGTATTGATTTTCAATTCATATTTTTGAATTGCTTAATTTACAATATTTGTGTAATTGTGGCATTGTTTGGGTGAGAAAACTATCTTTTCCACACTTTGTGACAAAATAAACCCATGTGCTTTACTTACGACAAAGAAAACCGATCTGTCAACCCTGTGTTTGGACTAGAATGGACAGTTATAACACAAAGGGTTACACACTAAAACAATCCACATTTAATAATCATGAAATGTTTAAAAAAATATCTGATTTAACATTAGTCATTTTAGTTGTTAAAAGTATTTTTTAAACCAAATCTAAAAAAAAAACAAAAAAATGCAGTCAAACCTGTATTAAGTAACCTATCAATGAAATTTTAAAAAGGTCACTTATGACAGGTAGTCTCTTACATCAGGGAATCATATTCTAGTAGTTTTCAACGTACATGCATGAATACTAAATAGTAATAATACCTGTATTTGTTTTCCTGTTCCCTTTCTTTCATCAAAGTTTTGAATCATTTTCATTCTTTCTGATACATAAAATTGTTCAATAAATATTTTTTTTGTAAAAATTGTTTTTATTATAGTTAGTAGGGATAAGTGTAAAATCCCTCTGAAAGATATCCAAAACAGGTTTGTTTCTATCAAGTTGCATACTTTTAGGATAAAAACTACCCATGACAAGATAATGCAAAAAAAGAAAACTCCTTCAAAAATGTCCAAAAATTTCAGTTGTTTTATATTTCATAAAGAGCACAACCTCTGATTCAGAATATATAATTATATAATGATAGAACAGTTTCTGCAGATTATAAAACATGTTTTATATTTTGGATTGAGGGGTGTGCTCATATTTTAATTCCTTGCTGAATGTACTCAAATACACCTATTTTCTGCCAAATTCAAGAACACTGCAATTTCACAAAGTCTGTTTTCCAACACCTTGACTCTCAGAGGAAATATACATTATAGGAAATGAAAGCACTAAGTCTCTCCTTTAAAATGATGTTGAAATGGGACATACTGATGACAGTCATTTTTTTTTTTTTTTTTGGTATATGGACAAGGCCATTTTATACATAAAGTGAACCTAACTCTTTAAAGGTAAGGTTGCAAATGACAGGAAGCTGCTAGATATAGGTGGTCACTATAGACAGGCTTGACTGTATTTTGATGTAAAGCATGACCTTCAGCAATGAAATACTGAATGTCCTGTCATAATCATCTTTAAATATCAATACCTGTAAAACGTATTCTAAAGACAATGTAGAAAATAAATAGAATTAGCTTTTACTATCAAAACAATGACCATAAGATGTTTTTGCACAAAAAATCAGCACACATTACCAGGAGTTTAAACCAGATATAAAATTATAAAAATCCTTGTATTTTTTAAAGAAAAATTATTATAAATATAGTTTTAGCTGGTATTTCCTATAAATTTGATTTGGAGGAAGTGTACAGTATTGCCAGGATCACAAAATTGCAAAAAAGGTCCTTCAATAATTGGAACTTTTAAATTATACAGGGAGTAAGAAATTAAAGTTCAAAACTATGTTGCGTATGTCCTTAATGTAATAAGAGCTTTGAAATTTAATTTTAATATGAGATAATTAAAGCTGTTCAGCAAAATAAACCACCATTAATGAAACCTCAGAGTGCAAGTGCTGCAGAGCTGAAATTTTTTTTTTAATGTTACTAACTAGTTTTTTTTTTTTTTTTTAATCCAGGTACTAGTGTAACATTCACAAAATCCACTTTTTCATTTCTCTTGACCCGGCCATCTTTAACTAAAATTCATCTAAATTCTATCCCTAGACACAATCAAATCTTGTTATCTTGAACTCTATGGAACCAAAAAAGAAAAAAAAATCAGATACTAAGGATAAGGTTATCCAAGATAAAACACCTTGTTTTCAATATTTTTATTTCTGTCAGTAATATACAGTTAAAAATTGTCATCCTCCAAATAAACATTTTTTGAATAAATTTTAATGAAATATATCTATTAACTATAAATAAAATTTTTCTCTCAGTTAAAAGGATTTTTGTGTTGTTGCAACACAAAGTTCAGGAATTGTGAATCTTTTCAATAGAATTTCAATCATAAAGCAGAAATTTGACAATACATATAATTTTCAGTTAGTGACCAAGGTACTCATCTTGCACATCCTAGAGTCATTGAAAGATCACAGAGATAATTCTTTTAGTAAACAATTTCCCTCTCTCAATCATGAGGCCAAAATCAAAATTACCTTTGTTTCCCCTAACGCGACCGACCCGATTAAATCACGCCGACTGAAAAGTTTTTTAAATAAGATTATTCAAATAATTTTTTTTAATGATTATCAATTTTTATAAAATACAATTTCATGAAAATCTGTTTTTATTAGAACGGCCGATATTGTTTTACTGTGATTTTCAAGTGTTTGCTGGAAACAAAATGGTGCCCATAACATCTGGTTATAGAGGAATACTTTATTTGCGGTGTTATAAAACAACGGCAACGTATCAACCTCATGCCTTTAGCTTATTCGAATCCTACACGCTTGAAAATTTCGTTAATAAAATATACCATAACTAATTAAGAGTGTTTTGGTGTTATTTGCAATCCTGTCTTTTGAAATTAAGGTACTTAGTACATGGCAAGGTCAACCTCATGAGCAGAGGAGGGGCCTACCTTGTGAATACATCAATCAATTTCACTGCATTTTATTTAATTTGAGTTTTGATCTAATAAACAGTCCATCTAAGTTCCATAGTCCTGAGTTGTAAATATGTCTGCATATTTCATCCTCATGAATATAATTCAGACGTCCTTTCTTCATGCCTTTCATTCATGGGTTAAACTTCGTGACTATGACATTGCGTACATGCATATTTATCATTTTTAGATATGGTTTGGTTCAATTAAATACTGAAAAAGTACATTGCATTAAGCACTGGAAGCTCAAAGTAGGTTTGAAAAATACTCGAATGTCCGGTCTTTGCGTATCTGAGAATCTTTTCTTTTCAAATATTCGATTTCAATACATTTACATTGGCGTGAGATATTGTACAAGTTATATCCGTGAATTAAACTTAAATTTAGCTTTTCAACGGCATTTGTATGATATTCTGTTTACAAATCGCTTTCTTTTGTACTGTTCTTATTCATATATAATGGCATGATTCCATTAAATTTCAGAAGGTATTTTCAAAGCTGCTGTCAGAAAAAAAATATTTACCTACCTACCTACCCAACTCGAGATTTTAGGGTCGGGTTAGGGGAAACAAAGATATTTTTAATGATGGCCTGATCCCAATTTTTTGAGTAGTTAACCGATGGACTCAACATATGATGCCCAGCTCCTGACACTGTGACAACCCACATACATAAAAAAAAATGGTTCAGACTAATACTACTCACTTAGACATATACCCATGATATTTGAAATATTGATTTTGAGATACCAAAATTCAACTACATGTATACCTCAGAGGAACAAACATGCAAACACAAACAAAAACATGAACAATTCCTTCCTACTTTGTTTACAATAAGTAATTAAAAATCAGTAATTAAAAAAAATTTCCATTATATTTTTTCAATCTCAATCCAAGACTTACTTGCGAGCATCCATTCGAGTATTAGCTAAGGCTGCCTTTAATTGTTCATTAACAATTTCTGCTAGCATTTTGTCCACTTTGCCTGAATTTTGAAAGTCCAAAGACTTAAATAGCATCTCGCTTAACTTCACATAGTCTGAAATAATAACATTGCTATAATGATTATCATAATAATGTTATTGAATATTAGGTATGTTGAATCTTTGACATTTATAGCAGCAATGATCATTATTCAAAGTACAGAGAAGGATATCCATAGATTTCTGTTCTTTTCAAAGTTCTATGCAGGGTATCGAAATAATGAATCTTTTTGGTAGCAATTTTACTTTTGTTTTTACTAATGCCTATTTTACATAAAAACACACTACAATTTTACCTTGTAACACACAGCAAGTAAAGACCCCTGACTTAAACACATCATATCGAACAGCTTCATAATCCAGACACTCGATCTTCTTCAGAAGTTTGGTCGTTACAGGCTGGGGGATGTCTCTGTTAACAATGTGTACAAACAAATCAAGACAGGATATATCTTATACATCTATCTTTAATCCATAATCAAATTATTTGATCAATTGCTCCAAATGTTCATAAATCCTTCTCTTCTTAACAGCAACTGTGTCTCTAAATTTGACTGCCTGATTTCAAGAAAATCTGTTTATTATGTACAGTCTGACTATAAACCATAATGTTGCAATAAATCTCTGAAAATATGGCTATCTGCTTTTCTTTTAAAGGTAAACCAAAAATCACCATACCTGCAGAGTGTCTTAATGAGATCTGTATATGAAGTCCCGTTAAGACCATACAGTCTTTTACCAACTACAAATTAAATTGAAATCAAGTGGTTAAAATTGAGTGCATATATATATAATATTCACTCAAGTTCATAATATGTTACCAACAGCAAGGTTGGAATTTCTTGAAGTCAAATGACACAAAAATCCTGACTTGGAGTAAAAAAATTTATTGAAGCTTAAATTTTATTTCTCAAAGCATCAAATAAAAAAGAATGGAAAGAAATTAAGATAGATCTGCTTGGTTGTTGCTATAACTGTGAATACTGAGACAAATATATTACACCTTAACTGGACATACAAATGTATCCATATATTAGGGCTGGGACGATACAACTTTTTCTATATTGATACGTATCACAATATTTGAGCCATAATACGATATGTATCACAATATGTTTAATTGGTCATAAAAACTTTTTTTTGAATTGAAATGAACAAAACATTTCTTCACAAATAAGAATAATTTACCTGGTATTCAAAGAAGTTGTATATCTCTTGTAAAACGAAATTATTTTAGACAAGTGGTGTTAATTATTATGTAATTCATATTTATAGTTATATTTAGCATATTAATTTTATATGTTAAGCCCAAAATGTTAAGTATACAAAGAAAAACATAAGTCAGAATTTTTTTTGCAATATTTCTTCATACATATCGATATGCGTATTGTCCTCACACAGCATCAATATTATCAATATCTCCATATATCATCCCAGCCCTACCATATATGTATTTATAAGAGTGTTCCCTTAGGACTGCTATCATTTCCTAGAATTTCAAATTTTTCCTTTTTCATCTCTGGCTTGTGGATTTAACCTTAAGTTCAATCTGATTCAAAAAAACAATATAGACAAAGACAAGTGTCTGATCTTATGCTAAATAACTAATTAAAGTATCTGAAAGTCCAGTTGTCTACGTCAGAGTATACAATTGTTAGAAAAGACAAATTATAAGTACAAACAAGATGCATGTACAGTTCAAGATATCTCTATTATTTCTACTTTTAGATAAGACATAAAATGAAGACTTTTTTTAGTTGTACAGTGTAAAAGATATTTTTAGTTATATTTTTACATGCACTTTATACAGTACATGTAAACTGTAATTTCTGAGAATAAATTTTAAATTGAGTTTTACTCAGAAGTCTCTGATGTGACAGTAGCTCTGCTGGTTTGCATTTACAGTGTATAAAAGTGGGGGGGGGGAAATGCACATGAACATGGAATTTTTATAAATATAAATACATTTAGAAAATTATATATCTTTGATGTTTTCTTAACAACATGTAGTACCTTTTTCTTTTTTGAAAAACCAAACCAAAACTTCAGTAGAAGAAGCATTGGTATGTATGAAGTTTACTAAAATTTGACCAAACCTGTAGAAAATGAAGCATTTTGAAAATAATCACAGAAATTTTTATTTTTAGTAACCATGGCAACATCATCCATTGAAATAAAAAAAAATGACACAGAGGATTATATATGTATATAAGTGAAGTCTACTTATTACCAAGTTTTATTGAAATTGGATCAAAACTGTAACATTTAAAAAAAAATTGTTTATGGACAGACAGAGGGACGTTGGACACTTTGCTTTCACAAGTGCATAATTTTTTCTGGTCTTTGATCAGTATAGAGCTAAAAGAGGAGTGTTTACTCATGTTATTACTTCAAAGGCCTTGTAAACACAAAATAGACAACAGGATATTATTGACATTTATTTACAAACAAAACATCACTCATAATAAATCTAATATTGATGGAAGTATAGAAGTAAGAGGAAGATGATGTCAAGTTAACATTTAGACTCTAATATCTATATTCAAGAGGAATATTTACATACAGTTATATATATACATGTAGTTACTCACTCTCCTCCTCCATAAATAATAAATCTGGATGTCTCCTTCTATAATCTGATATTTACATTAAAAATCATGTGAGATGTCAAAGTGGTAACAATATTATTTAAGGAATGAATTTAATAGCTGTATAGCCTGGACTGGAGCTGTTAATAAATGCTTTTTAAATAAACTGTGAAGCGGTTTATAAAAAAATGTGAACTGTTCCAACCCAGATTATACCAGTATAACTTCGGTAGCTATTAAATTCATTGCTTATAATTTAATTTTCCATCATTAAGTTTAGAAAAATAAGACAATTTCTCCTTGAAAAGCGATATAAACAAATTTTTTATCCAATCAAATGACATGTTACGACCAAAATTAAATTATTCAAAATTAGTCTGACTTAGGAATGTCTAAAATTAATTAAGAATTGCAGCATTTCATGCAAATAGCCATAACTTTTGTAAAAATGGGTCGATCAACATGAAACTCTAACTAATGATCTGTGAGTCATCAATATCAAGAAACATACCAAAAATCAGCTCATTATCTACTAGAACAGCAAAAAAGTCCAGAAAATAGTGAATTATAAGAAATTTTCAAAGTCTAAGGGCCATAACTTTTGGAAAAATGGGTCAATGGACATGAAACTCAAACTTGGTCTACAAGTCATCAATATCAAGACATACCAAATATCAACTCATTATCTATAAGGCAAGCACAGCAAAAAAAGAGAAAACCGGAAAACTACTATGACTAAATGATAAAATGACAGAAAGATGGATTATGACAGATGGAAAGAGGTAACACTATACATCCTGGCCATTTCATTACGGGACATAAAAACCAGTACAACAAATAATAGGTACTTTATTGGTCATGTGTTTTGGGTATAAGTTTGGCTTGAAAAATTGGATATGAAAAATGTTAACTGCTTGCAGATGACACAAATTTTAGAATAAAACTGCATTTTAATGAACACAGTAACTTTTTTCTGTTGTCATCAGAGAGTGATAAACGTGCCTATACCTATGGGCATGTCTCGGGAAGTGCAGCATGCTCTATCTTTAATACATAAAAGCTTTTTAACATTCTATTTTAGAAGATTTATAATGTCGTGTTGTAATTTTCTGTCATTAGCTGTTGTGGATTACAAACTGCCATTATAAGGGCTTAAAAAGCAACAAAGTATGGTAATGACATTCTTAATGTTCATAATAACCATAGAAAATAATTCATTTAATTAATTTTCATAACCTGTAAATGAACACACAGAGATGCAAATGAAATACCTTATGTATAGAGGTGAATTTGATTTAAAATTGACGTCATACTTGCATTCATATATTCTGTATTTTACAATTTAAATTCAAATGTTAGCAGCTGTCTCCCTAGAAATAGTTTTTTTTTGTTCCAATGAATTTATGGATGCCAGTATTTACACCTACATCAATTTTTTAACAAGAATTCAATGCTATGCCTATTTCTTAAACAGACAGAACATACAGCAATTAGACCATTGATTCACAACAGTAGTTTCTTTGACCTACCTTTTTGTTTGAGCAGAATATCATAAGCTTGTCGTACATTCATCTCAAACACTGGTCGACTATGATGTGTCATCTCAATCATATTGCGAGCTTTTAGCACCAAGTTTGATTGGTCTTCTAATGAGTCAAAACTAGAAAATTGATAACAAATAATGCTAAGAATTAGTCATGTGAATTTATATGGCCATTGGCATTGGAAAAGATAATGACCACCTGTATAGCCACTAAAACTCATAATTCAGTAACAGCAGTAATAACATAATCAGAGGTCAAAAGGTCACCAGCCATGATAAGGTCCCAAACTGAGAGATGTGAAGTCAACCTGCATGGGTAAGGTCATCAGCAGTGATCAGGTCATCTGCAGTTTAAGGTCATCAGTAGTGATCAGGCCATCTGCAGTTTAAGGTGATCAGCAGTGATCAGGTTATCTGCAGTTTAAGGTCATCAGCAGTGGTAAGGTCATCAGCAGTGATCAGGTCATCATCAGTGGTAAGGTCATCATCAGCAGTGATCAGGTCATCTGCAGTTTAAGGTCATCAGCAGTGATCAGGTCATCTGCAGTTTAAGGTCATCAGCAGTGATCAGGTCATCAGCAGTTTAAGGTTATCAGCAGTGGTAAGGTTATCAGCAGTGATCAGGCCATCTGCAGTTTAAGGTGATCAGCAGTGATCAGGTTATCTGCAGTTTAAGGTCATCAGCAGTGGTAAGGTCATCAGCAGTGATCAGGTCATCAACAGTCAGTTCAAGGTCATCAGCAGTGGTATGGTCATCTGCAGTGATCAGGTCATCTGCTGTATAAGGTCATCAGCAGTGGTAAGGTCATCTGCTGTTTAAGGTCATCAGCAGTGGTAAGGTCATCAGCAGTTATCAAGTCATCTGCTGTATAAGGTCATCAGCAGTGGCAAGGTCATCTGCTGTTTAAGGTCATCAGCAGTGGTAAGGTCATCTGTAGTTTAAGGTCATCAGCAGTGATCAGGTCACCTGCAGTTTAAGGTCATTAGCAGTGGTAAGGTCATTTGCATTTTAAGCAGGATATATGACATTTTAAATCTTCAATACATGTAGTTATGTCACCAGCTTTGGTTTATACCAAATGCATGTTGGCATTATTCATGTATAAAAATTTATTCCTTGAAATGCTTTCAATGTACTGCAAAGATAAAATTAAAAAGACACCTCTATGGAATATTTCAAACATACCTTAATCATGTATCAAGGTAAAAAAAAAAAACTTACTAATCTGCCAGGAAAGAAATGGGGTCTGATGGCCTGTTACTGACAATTTTACCAAGGACATCCTTCATCAGATTTCCTATGTTAGATCTCTCTGTAAGGAAGGTCAAGGTTAATTCTTCTCAATTTACCAGTTTGTATCATGTGAACATGATAAAAGTTATTGCTACATTTAATATTCCACAATCTTTTATGGTCTATGAGTTCTAGTCAGTTACTGGAATGGCTTTAAGGTTGCATAAAAGATGCAAAAATTCATTTGACAACTACTTTATGTTCAATCTGTACCATTTTCAGGGAGATTGATGCACGATTACCTCACCAATGTGCATTACCTCACCAAACAAGTTGAAAGAAGGTCATGTTTTAAAGTATGTATGTCTGTCTTCAACATTATTTAAACTAGAGGGAATAAGAGCACTGAGCTCACAAAATGATATCCCCTGCCTCTCATATGATTATAATGGTGAAGTCCATGTTTTGCTATGGGAGTCCTTAAATAAGTGTCAGATCAAAAAGTAAAAAAGGTGCATGATGGCACTATGTAATAAAGATTCTGTAAAAAGTATCATTGAATTTTATTCAGTGGTATAGGAGGGGTACCCCTCAATTTTATAGAAAGAATGGCAGTGTCAATGCTTTGCTATTGGAAACCCGAAAATATGTGTATGATCAAAAAGTAAAATAGGAGGTCACAATGGCACTATTTAAAAAAAGATTTTAAGAAAGTCCCTTTAAATTTCATTCAGTGGTATAAGAGGAGTTGCAGATAAGAGATGGGTACCCCAAAGCATATCGTTCAGCTAGATGGACGAACAGACACCCCCATCACTGTACATCCCCTGCTTTTTAAGCAGGGTGTGTAACAATGATGAAGTAAAGGTACTGTGAGCACTAGAGAGCTAAAAAAAAATGAAACCCCTTGCTCCCAAGTATAATGGGAATATCCATGTTTCCATGTTTTTGCTAATGGAGAAACCCTGAATATGTGTCCAATCAGAACATAAAATAGGAGATACACAATGGCACAGTTTAATAAAGATTCAGTAAAAGTCTCATTAAATTTTATTCAGTGATTGATATAGAAGGAGTTGCAGATAAGATATGGGTACTATCAATTTTATGGAGGGAAATGCAGTGTCCAAGTTTTGCTACGAAAAACCCCAAATATGTGTCTGATCGAAACTAAAAATAGGAGTCGCACAAAATCAAGAAGAGTCCGGTAGACTTTCTAGTTTTTTTATAATGAGTAAATTATTTATGAAAATGAAAAAAGTTATTATCCGCATCTTTTCCTTACATACTGTGATAGATAGTTTCATATTTCAGAATAGACTGAGAGGGACACAATTTGTATATAAAATTTATGAATGGTGATATATCATGAAAATGTGTCATGATAAAGTCTATCATGATATATCACATTATGCTTCAGCTTAATTAATTGTTAACCCCTATTACTAGAAGGTCTACCGGACTCTTCTTGACTTTTTGTATTAGATATTTATATTATGCATTAATTAATAGCAAATTTTGGGCTTTTTTTATGTATTATGGAATACCAGAAATCCGAATCAATAAATCCCTGTTTATAGTTTGCATCTTTAGGCCAATTAAGCTTAAAAAATTCTTTGTTTGCAGTTGACTGACCTATAATCTTTAGAGTGGGTAGGTAGGTTAAGTTTTCAGATTAAGCCACTGATTGATATAAACAAAAATCTAATAAAATAGAAAATGAAAGTTTCAATATCCCAAAAACTTGAAACTTAAAAAAAAATACAAAATAGCTGGAAAAAAAGTTTGGATTGGGTGCATTTTCAGTGGGTCAGTAGGCAACTGCAAACAAATTTTTTTTTAGACCTTAGATATCTGGAGCTCTCTGGGTGCCTTCTAATTCTTTTTAACTATGCAGTCTGTTTCTGTCAATAGAATGAGTTAACTTTATAGACAATACATATTGCCAAGGTTAGGAGAAGGATAAATAATGCATTTAGCTTTCCTTAGAAAAACTCTGCTGACTCGCAATAAATCTGTATAACACATTTTTTTGTTATAAAATTTTTTTTGAGGGTGGACGTTTCTATTCCTATGTCAAGATGATAAATAGATTCGAGGTGACACACCACCTTTCAAGAAAATTGTTTTACACAACATACACACAGGTACTTGGGTCCTGGTTTATAAACATGTATGTACCTTATTGATATGTAAAAAAAAGTATCTATATGGTACATACATATTTATAAACCAAGACCCAAGTACCTGTGAACATACAATGTAAAACTTTATACAAACATGTAAGAACAGAGAAAATTTGAACTGAAATCTGCACATTGCCATTGATCAAGGAAAATTTCAGACCTTAATCCATCCAATGTAGTGTGTTATGAAGAGGTGGACATAAACATCTAATTTAGAAGCGTAACATGAAAGTCTGTGTGATCATTAGTAGGAAAAATAATGAAGCCTAGTTCAAATCATAAAGTTATGCATCATTTTTCACTATCATCATCGTTAAACCAGTACTTTTGTGAAAGAATTTAAAGAAATGACAAGTAATACAGCAATAGGTAAAATGTTACCCAAAAACTGTCTGTCAGTCTCTTGTGGACGATCATCGGCGGAGTTCGGTTTCTTCTTGTCCGCCATTTGTATACATAGTGCGTTTGAGTCAGTTATGCGCTTCAAATGTCAGAGAGCGAATGTCAATGTCCCGGAATCTGAATATCAGTTGTATTTTTTTAAAACAATCTTTGTTTAAGTAATTAATTTAATTGTCAGAATTTTGTTCAAGAAATTCCTAAACTGAGTTCTTGCTACATAATTCTTGTGAAAATGGAGTATACTTTCTATGGTAAATAGAGTTTAATTTATCCGGATAAATTAATCCTGCAGTTTACCTTTCCCTTTTTACAAAGCACCTGTTTGACTGCGACTATTTCTTAAAAGTTGACATTAGAAACGTATGACGGTATGTATGAACATTGAATAGAAATATATACTGTGTCAGTAGAGACATAAATAACATGTAATCTGGGTCTCTGGTTAGATAGAATGTTCTATCATTAAAATGATAAATGTCCTACGGACCCAGTTTAACTGTGGTGAGAGCCTGTCCCGAGACATAGTTAGACTATTCTAACTAGGTTTCTGGTGTTACCCAGATTTGAATTTTCTGTACCTGGGTTCTTAAGGCTTAGTTCATCTTTATATAACATGAATACAATGAACAGTAAGCAGATCTGGTACAATCACTAGATTTAGCTAGGTACAGGTCTGGTACAATCACTAGATTTAGCTAGGTACAGGTCTGGTACAATCACTAGATTTAGCTAGGTACAGGTCTGGTACAATCACTAGATTTAGCTACGTACAGGTCTGGTACAATCACTAGATTTAGTTACGTACAGGTCTGGTACAATCACTAGATTTAGCTACGTACAGGTCTGGTACAATCACTAGATTTAGCTATGTACAGATCTGGTACAATCACTAGATTTAGCTACGTACAGGTCTGGTACAATCACTAGATTTCGCTACATACAGGTCTGGTACAATCACTAGATTTAGTTACGTACAGGTCTGGTACAATCACTAGATTTAGCTACATACAGGTCTGGTACAATCACTAGATTTAGCTACGTACAGGTCTGGTACAATCACTAGATTTAGTTACGTACAGGTCTGGTACAATCACTAGATTTAGTAACGTACAGGTCTGGTACAATCACTAGATTTAGCTACGTACAGGTCTGGTGCAATCAATAGATTTACCTACATAGCTTGAATTACCTACATAGCTTTATTTACCTACCTGATGTAGCTTTATTTAGCTACTAAATCAAACTTATTTCTTAAATTATCATTTTCCCCAGAAAGTGCAGAAAATTGCACTTTAATGCAGTGATAATTTTCAACTTTAAACTCATCTGAATTCAATTCATGAAAAAAATCACTCTTGGAGATGTGTCTTTTTCTGTGCAATTGCAGTCAAAGTGCTAAAAGTTTTGGGACTGTAAACAGCAGTTAATTTGTGACCTATGGTTAACACGAGCACAGTGTGAAGTAATCATACTCATACAGGCCTCATCACACACAAGGTGGTGTACATTTACTCAATCCTCTATCGCCTGGTCACACCCGCCATGTGCTCCTTGTCATGACTGGGCAAACGAAAAATAGACAATTCAGTGTGAAAACATGGCCAACAATTTGTATGGAAAAAGTCGGTCAACATTTGACTTTAAAAAAAAAATGATTTAATGATAGATTGTATTTGCTGACAAGGTCATTGTATTGAACAAACAATGTTTGTTTAGTTTTAATTATTGTATTTGTTTTCTTTGTTGTTGTTGTCATGTTTATAGATTTATATTGCAAACTTTTGTATTTATTTGAACCATTTTCAAAGATGAATATAACTTAATTCTTTTTTTTTTTTAATTTCTTTAAGGGTTTGGACTCTGTTGATCAACAACAAGATGCTCATCTTTCTGTAGATAAATAACTTTCAACATGGCAGGGGCTATGCCCCAGTTGGCATCAGTAAGCATCTGAACATGAATCAATTTTTTATTGAATAATATCATTTCATTATCATTTGTATTATGGTCAATTTACAGCAGAAAGACGTGCAATTTTTTAATTTCTTCTTTTTTTAAACAAGGTACTCCAATAAAGATTGCTTTTAGTTATCGAATGATGAAATATGTAATGAATTAATGTATTTTAAATGTGAATTATAGACAAAAATAGGTCAAGCCATCAAAAATGGAGACTTCAGAGAACTAAAGCGTCTCATTGACAGTGGGGAAAATGTTCACCTCAAGGACAGGGTGAGTTGTATATTCTTATTTAAAAGTAAATGATATACAGTTTAACTTTGTTATCTCGAACACCAATATGTTGAATACCAGGGATATGTTGAAGTGATTTGGAAGTCTGAACCACTTTTTGTTTAAATTTATTAACTTCATTATCTGGAATCCTCCTCGGATATCTCCAAGTTTAATCATGGTCCCATTGAGGTCCAGATAAAGGTGTTTGACTGTACACTGTATATATATCTGATGAGGTTTGTTTGGGTAGGGTTTTGGACATAATTTCAGTTTGTTCATTGCAATCTGTGATCCAGTCATCTTTAGCTACATCGGTCAAAGGCCAAAAGAGCTTAATATGCTGTGGTAATGTGTCCATTGTCTGTCTGTCTGTTTGTCTGTAAACAATCTTTTAATTTAAATTGTATGGTCGAAAGTGTTAATTTTTTTTACCCATGGATATTGTCGTCTAGATCATGTGTTCAAATGAAGAAATATGTCCTTTCCAATTATCCATGTCTTGTGCCTAAGTTATAATTGAAATAATAATTCTTTGCTTACAAACAAAAAGTCATGAATATTCAGCATAAAGATCTTTTGAGAACAAAGTGATGAAAATTCTGCTTATTTGCCACAGCTAATAAAATTAAGATAAGTCCTGTGAAATTCTTTCAAAATGATACTCATACAGTTTTCATCCAAATTTATTTAAATTGGTTCACAATTAGACAGCAATAAGAAGCATAATTTTGTTCTCTGTTTGTTTTTTGCTCTACTGGTCAGAGACCATAATGTATCTTAGCACACAATTAGACTAAACTAAGATACATAATTCAGTGCATCAGTTTTTGATTTTGATGAATGGTGTTGCCTTGGTTACTAAAAATACAAATTTCTGTGAAATTCCTTTAAAATGCTACTTCTCCTACAGTTTTGGTCTGATTTCAGTATAACTTGGCATACATGTAGACTGCACTAAGACACATAATTTAAAGCATTGATTTTGAATAATGGTGTTGCCATGGTTACTAAAAATAAAAATTTCTGTGAAATTCTTTAAAAATGCTACTTCTCCTACATTTTTTGTCTGATTTCAGTAACTTAGCACACAAGTAAACTACACTAAGATATATAATTCAGTGCATTTGAATGATTTTGAATAATTTTTGATGAACGTTGTTGCAGAGAGACATAAACACCATATGCAGGTGCTAAGGGTATACTGCTACATAAGTATTAAGGGAAGTTGACGATTGAAAAGTTTAAGTCATCACATTTATCATAAAGCTTTGTTTTTAGGTTACCATTAATGCCTTTTTCTAGTAAAATATCCAAATATGAAACAAATGTGTCAGACTCTGGTATCTCTTTTTTCAAATTCACTGGGATATATCGAGTTGACATATAAATTGAAGTAACTATTGTTAATTGATAATACATTGTAGATATATGTAAATGTTGAGTTGAAGGCTACAGCAAGTGTTTTCTTCTTCTCATGTATAAGATTTTAAATAAATTCTGCTTCATATGAATACAAAAACAGGTCTGCTAATAATGGGACACAATTGGTACCCATGGGAATTCCAATAGATTGTTGGAAGACCTGGTCTCCAATAACTACATATAAACTCAAGCATCTTTTTAATATCAACTTCAGAGTACTTGTGTGTACAATCAGAGTGTTTTTTAACAAAATAAATTTGCAAATGACCAATGCTAAAAAAAAGCTAAAAAAATTTTATGAGTTCCATTTTTAGGTCACCTGAGTCACTCAGGTGACCTATATATTGCTATCCGTTTTTGTCCGTCGGCATGCAATGAGCATTAACATTTGAACATTTTTAGCTTCTTCTCTGAAACCGCTCAACCAATTTCAACCAAAGTTGGCATATAGCATTTATGGGTGAAGGGGAACAAAAATTGTGAATTTCATGGTCCCTGCCCCCCTGGGGCCTGAGGGGTGGGGCTAAAACCACAAAAATTAATGCAATCTTAAAAAATCTTCTTCTTTACACCTGGACATCAAGCAGTCAAACTGTTAGCATGATTGTAATAAGCATTGAGCCCTCTACCAAAATTGTGAAATTCATGGCCCCAGGGTCAGGGGTTCTGGTACTAGGGTGGGGCTATATAGATCATATGGTGAAAGTGCATTATTTCTTTGAAAATTTTCTTCTCTGCTCCTGGGTATTAAATAAAGTAACTAAGTACATAGTTATGATGAGCAAGAGTGTCTCTTCCAAAATTGTGAATTTCATGGCCCCAGGGTCAGGGGTTCTGGTGTTAGGATGGGGCTCTATTGATTATATAGTGAAAATACATCAATTCATTGAAAATCTTCTCTGCTCCTGGGTATTAAATAAACTATTTAAGAACATAGTTATGGTGAACATGACTGCCTTTTCAGAAATTATGAATTTTATGGCCCCTGGGTCAGGGGTTCAGATGTTTGGGCGGGGCTCTATTGATTATATAGTAAAATTGCATTAATTCTTTGAAAATCTTCTTCCCTGCTCTTGGGTTTTAAATAAACTAACTTAATGCATAGTTATGATGAGCACTGTTGCCTCTTCCAAAATTGTGAATTTCATGGCCCCTGGGTCAGGGGTTCTGGTGTTAGGGCAGGGCTCTATTGATTATATAGGGAAAATACATAAATTCTTTCAAAATTTTCTTTTCTGCTCCTGGGTATTTTTCAAACAAAGGAAGTGCATGGTTATGATAAGGAAGAATGCCTCTTCCAAAATTGTGAAATTCATGGCCCCAGGGTCAGGGGTTCTGGTGAAGGGGGGGGGGGTCTTTATTGATTATATAGTGAAAATGCATACATGTAATTTCTTTCAAAATATTTTTTCTACTACTGGATATAATTCAAAGAAACAAGTGTATAGTTATGATGAGCAAGGGTGCTTATTCCAGAATTGTGAGCTATGGCCAATGGGTCAGATGTTCTGGTGTAAGGATGGGGCTTTATTTGTTTAATAATATAGTGAAAATGCATTTCTTTGAAAATTTTCTATGCTTCTTGGCATATTTGAGGCAAACAGAGAAAAGTTTTAATATGCAAGGGTATTTTTACCAGAATTTTGAACACCTGGACCATTTAATCAAGTGTTCTGGTCCTGGCCAGTGTTCTATTTAATAACTTGTATTCTGTTGAGCAAAGTTATTCCCCTTTGCCATTCACCTTTGATAATAAATCACTTTAAATAATGTATTTGAATGCTTAATAGAATAAGAGAATTATGCAAGAATATTTATTGTATAATACAAAAAGTACTTTCATAGTTTTAATATCAGGTAGACTTGGAAATAATAAATGAATAAAATTGAGACAAAAATAACTTATCTTTCTTAATTGTTCTTCAAAGGCCAAGAGAGGCCAATGTGAGAAGTAGTAATATGGGGTTAAAAAATAGACAGATTGTTAATATTCCGCATGGTAATAGTGATAAATGGGGGACAGATTAGATACTAGACCAATTATTTTGTTGATGCAAATCATACTATTTTTCTTGCTTTTGGGCAACAAAGCTTCATTTATCAGTTTATGGATCCTCTAAATTGTTGTATTGTACTCAGGTGACCTTTAAGGCCCTTGGGCCTCTTGTTATTGAAAAAAGCTGCTGTCAATGATGTCAAAAAGCCTGGACTTTAATTTGTCATGGGGAATGGTTGTATTAAGTGTTGAATAGTAATACATGTACATGTATTTTGATTTTATTGATTTTGGTAAAATTTTGTGATTTCAAATTTTTAAAAAGTTCCTTTGAATTTTTGAGTATTCACATCTGATTTACACCACTTCTTGAATTTATTGTTGTACAGTACTCCTGATACTTTGATGAGTTGGGTGAATTCCCTTTAGAAAGTCATTAAGAGGCACAATATGGGTGAATTAAAAAAAAATGACCAAACACATATTTATCAACCCACACTAAAAATACAGGCAATGAAAATAGATTTCTATGTCTCAGCATATGTCTTTAGATAGTGTCTAAATACCTGCCAAATATCTCGTTGATACCTTAATTAACAAAAAAGTTATGCCCAAAAATGATGCTAAAGTTGTCAGGAGTGCAACACCTTTTTGTGACATTTTGAAATTTCAATATTTTTTGGAGATCTGTGAAATAAAAAATAATGCATCATGTTGAAAATAAAGACTTTCCTGATAATATTCAAAGTATTGAGCTTTAAATGTGGACTGTCATAACTTTTGTTTAATCAGGTTGTGGTCATGGTTGATGTTTAAAAAAATGTTATACCATGTCAGGAGTGCAACAGAAAAAATGTAGTGTTGCCAAAAAAACATCAATTGTAAAATTTTGATAGAAAATTAAGACAAAAAAGAATTTTGGAAGTGTAAAATAATAACTGATATACATTTTAAAACTTAAAAATGTTATATAAATCACAAGCAGCATTAATGAGAGTCAAGTATATGTGCATACCCAAAAATGTCAGGAGTGCAACATTTGATGTTTTGCTCCCAAGCATGAAAAAACTATTATCAAAATATGATTTTCTGATTTTTATTTTGGAAAATAAAGACACAAAGAACATTTTTACCAAATAGATTTATCAATTACAGGATGTGTCTGTGCTTCAGATCCATATTTCTATGGTCAGGAGTGCAACACATTTTTTTTAAAGATTGAAGTTGTGTGACGAAAAGACTTCTATTCATGCTTAGAAGTATTCATTAATTAATAATGATTTTTTTGTATAATTTAATGCTAAATTATTGACAGTTTTATTATTAAAATCCTTCCTTTTTCAATTTTGTCAATTCAGATGTATTTTTATCTTTTTTGTGATTTTTTTAATGAACGTCAAAAATAAACACACTAAAACATTGTCATAAAATTCGAGTAATTCCTCCTCAACTTCACTGAAACAACAGAACATCTACTTTAAAGGGCCCAATGCTTTTGGTCAGGAGTGCAACAAATATGTTTGAATTATAAATCATCCAATAAGAATAAAAATAAAGAAAAAATGATGAGTAATATTTTTCTGGTGGGTTACTGTGTTTGTCTTCTATAGGAAAATATGCTTTAAAATATATTTTCTCTTCTATATATACATTTACGCTAGATTTTTGGCATAAAATAAGGTATAATTCCAGATAAAATGCGAATTTGAAATACTTTCATCTGTTTTAATTATGAAATGTTGGACTATACGTATTGCACAATTTCTTTACCACTTGATGTTGCCAACACTTTATGAATTTTTGTGTTCTATGGTTTTAAATTTAAACTTTACTGCAGTCAGGAGTGCAACAAAACTGCTTCATAATTACCGATGCTTTTTAACTATCTTTACTAAAAAATAAGTTGAAAAAAAAATGCTTGATACTATTTGATGTTCAAAACACTATGTCTATCAACAAATTACAGAAATTTTACAGTCAATTCAGGGAATAGTTTTCATCATTTCACATATATTTTAAATACAATTTATATATATTACACTTTGCAAATAATCATGTTTTAAGGTCTTCAAAATATGAAAAACCTGCTGTAAACGATGAAAAATATCAGCACGACAAATTGATTTACAAAGTAAGGATGGGTTATTGTGTGTTATAATTTTTAAAACAATGTTAAATAAAATACATATCAGATGTCAGGAGTGCAACACAATAATGTAACGTAGGGTCACTTCAAAATCTAGTATTTCTTGTAAGAGAACTCGTATATAACAATTCATTTTTGGCTTAGATTTAAAGAATTGACTTGAACGGACAAAAAAGTGAATTTGGGGGAATTTTATTGCTTCATATTTTTTTCATATTAAAACTTTTCAAACCAGAATTGAAAAAATAATGTAAAATAACAATCAAAAAGCCAATTTTTTGCCACATGTACAAGAGAAGATATTCATTCAAGGTCTAGATTTAATCATTTATACCCCTTTTACCATTTGAAGCATAAAAAAACTATAATTTCTTGTGATTATGTATTTTAGAAAGTCTTTTAAGGTGTAATGATATTTTCTTTTTTCAAAAGAAATTTTACTAATAAAAATTCTGAAACTTTTTAATCCAATTGTCTATTCTATTGCCAGTTCAGGATTTTAAATTAGAATGCATTTGCAATATGATGATATAAGTGAAAGATATGTTATAAGTAGTTGAATTTTGCCAAAAAAATTCAGTTTGATGGTCATTTTTTTTTAATTCACCCACATACGTTTTATGAACTGCTTTTATTAAATTATTAGTGAGTTCATGATGAAATATTTTACTGTTTCAGAAAGGTAACACATACCTGCATTATGTTTGCACCATGTATAGACCAGTTGTGTTTCACATAATAGCTGCCCAAGGAATTGATATCAACAGCCAAAATAAGGTAAGTCAAAATATATATATCTGCAGGGCGGATCTAAGAAGTCTGATTTTAATTAGATTGCAGAGTGTATATGGTGCAGATCTATGGCGTCTGATTTTAATTAGATTGTACCATATGATACACAAGTTTTGAAATTGCAAGATTCTTTTAAATGCCCTAATTTTGTCTGTACCCTTACCAAACTGTTATGTTTGCTGCAGATCTGCAGCAAGTCTGCTGCAAGTTTGCAGCAAACAAAATTGTTCGCAGGAAGAAAATTTTCTTGTTCGCAGATGATTGCCGCTAGCTGCGATCTTGCAGCAAACATTGCAGCAATTGCTGTAAGCTTGCAGCAAATTCGCAGGAACTCAACATGTTTGCAGGAACATTGCAAGAAACATACACGCCAATCTGTTGTTCGCAGCAAGTTTGCAGGAAACATTTAACAAATTGAATGTTTGCAGGAAGTTCGCAAGAACAGTAAACAAGTCAAATCAGCCAATGAAATGCAGATTGTACTCGGGTCAACACAGAATTTGCCATTTTGAAATGTTTGAATTGAAGTGTAGATGTTTCAGCATTTTGTTAGGAATATTTACCATTTTGAACATGTTGAATGATTACAAAAGCATAATTCTGGATGTAGGTGTACATTGGCATACACAAATCTAATTGGTAAGATCTGATTTTGTTTATTTTAATATGAAACAATTATCTCTTTAAAGCATGTTTAAGTAACATGTACTTGCTAGGTCAAATCTTAATCTATTTATGAACTTTAATCTTTATTTTAATATAATCTTTATTTTAATATTACATTTGTATGTTTCTTTAAATGTATTAAAGGTTCCAAATCAATTATTATAAATGTTTAAATGTTTTCAAATAAATTGGTATTAACCGTACAATTTTATTGTTAAATAATGTGCAAAGGTTTTTAATTTTCTGTACATGTCAAAAAAAAATTTATGAAGACTAGTTTGTGAAAATTGTCTAGGAACATAAAGAGAGACTATCAACACTTCAGAAACTAGCTTGCATCATTTCAGACGCATGTGGTGGATTTTCTCTATAATTAACAGATTAAGATCAGGACAAAGGCTTTCTGCGAACTTGCTGCTTGTATGCAGGAATGTGCCAAAACATTAATTATATTGCTTGCCGCTAGTTAGCAGCAATGTTTGCCGCAAGCTTGCAGCAATGTTTGCTGCAAGTTTGCAGCAATGTTTGCCACAAGCTTGCAGCAATGTTTGCCGCAAGCTTGCTGCAATGTTTGCAGCAAGCTTGCAGCAAGGTTTCCATATTTGGAAAATCCAGTGTTTGCTGCTGACTTGCAGCAAACTTCATTTGCATGGTAAAATGTTTGCTGCAAGCTTGCTGCATACTTGCCGCAAACTTGCTGCAAGCACAAAGGCTTTGTATAGGCTGTCATGGTTTCTGTAGCTTCATTGCAGCAAGCTTGCAGCAATGTCTGCAGCAAGTTTGCAGCAATGTTTGCTGCAGACTTGCAGCAAATGTTTGCAGGAAGGCAATATTTTTGGTAAGGGTATTCAGCTAGGGACTATTACAGGAAGGCACCAAAATTCACAATGTCAGATCTAAAATTTTTGATGTGACTGAAAAGATTAAAAGCTGTAATCAGTTTGATAATTTATATACTTAGTAATAAATACAAGTTTCTTTTGGCATATGCGATATGCGTGATGTCACAGTAGCTGTATCAGCACTTATGCAATACAGATCAGACTATAGCTGTAATGCCATGTATTAGGCATTAATGCCCCTCTTGCTGAACCCCTCTATTCCCTTGAAAACTTTTCTTTGTTTTTCCACCTGAATAAATTATGTTTTCAACAGACTAACAAACATCAAATAATAATGATATGGAAAAGGGTATGTATTATTGTCTTTGTAATAAATCCTTTTTTTCTGTAGTTTGGCTACACACCTCTCCACGTTACAGCGCTACAGAAGGATGGGCTACACATTGCTGATGTCATGTGTTGTGGGGCAGACCCTGACATCAAATGTTATGTAAGTTTTTTGGTGATGTACATGTCAATTAAACAGATTATTTTTGTTTTACTGAAAGTAAAGTTTCATATAAGATGTACCCTGAGATATACACCTACATTGTATATAAAGGAGATTTTTATTTGTATCTACCCAAAGCTTGGAAAGACAGCTGCAGAGCTTGATCCCCACAACAAATATTGGCAAATGGTGTATGAAAAATATAAGGTTGGTATAGGGAAATTCAGAATATGAAGATTCCTTTTAATAAATGCTGGTGTAGCTCAATCTTGACTATATATTAGGGTGAAACTATCATTCAATTCTTTGAAGAAAAAATTTTAAAAGAAAATCCTCAGAATAAAAACCTGAAGAGGAGCTGTTAAATTCATCATTTGTTTGTCCTCATGATAAAGCCTGTGATGTACATGCATCTTCAATATGGATCTACATATGTAGTTAATTACATTGTATATAGATCTTTGAGAAAGAAGAAAAAATTGGATTAAATTGATAATACCTTTCTTTACAGCCAGGAATATTCCATGCTGTTAAAGCACATGATGTGGAGAAAGTCAAAGAACTCTTACATTGCTGGTGTAAAATGGATTCTAAATATGTAAGTGATCATGATGTTCATATATATCTGTAAAGTGATAGACCTTTAAATCAAACTTACATATATGTAATTTCCTCAGCATGGATAAGCAGATACCTGTAATTTACAACATTAACTGTTGTGCAGAAGGGACTAACCCTAGGATAAGCTGTTGATATCAATACCTGTAATTTATAACATTTACTGTTGTACAGAATGGACTAACCCTGAGACAGTACTCGGCAGCTCACAAGCATCACGACATTGTTAGGATCCTGGACCAACACAAGGCTACCCTGGTGAGTTGGCAGATAATCAGACCATTTCTCCCACTATCTTTTTGACTTACCCAAAGTGTATTATGGATAGATAAATTTTAAGTTCTCTCTTTTTTTCATGCTCCATCATGAATATGGCTGGGGCATATAGAGTTTATCATGTCCGTCTTCCATCCTTCCATCTGTCCTTCCGTCGCGCTTTGCATTTAGCTCAGTTCAAAGCTCAGCTTCAAGGAAACTATCCAAGATATTTTTATCAAACTTCATATGCTGATAGATATTGATGAGAGCTATGCAACTGCATCAGCATTTTTTGACCTTGACTTTTCCTTTAACCTTGACCTCACTTTTCCTAAATTAGTCTTTAGCTCAGTTTTAAAGATACCATTCAAGATAGTGTTATCAAACTTCATAATTATGCTGATACATACTGATGAGAGTTATTCAACTACTTCAACATTTTTGACCTTGACCTTTCCTTTGACCTTGACCTCACTTTTTTAAAATTAGTGTTCAGCTCAGTTTTAAAGAAACCATTCAAGATATTTTTATTAAACTTCATATGCTGATACATACTGATGAGAGTTATTCAACTTCATCAACATTTTTTGACCTTGACATTTCCTTTGACCTTGATCTCACTTTCCTTAAATTAGTGTCAACTTCATATGCTGATACATACTGATGTAAGCTATTCAACTGCATCAACATTTTTTGACCTTGACCTTTCATTTGACCATGACCTTTCTTTTCTCAATTTGTGTTTAACTCAGTTTTAAAGAAACCATTCATAATATTTTTATCAAACTTCATATGCTAATACATGCATATGTAAGCTTTTCAACTGCATTCAACATTTTTATACCCCCGCTCCGAAGGAGAGGGGGGTATACTGTTTTACCCTTGTGTGTCTGTCTGTCTGTCTGTCCGTCTGTCTGTCTGTCTGTCCGTAAGAAACTTTGGTCGCAGTTTTCTCAGCAACTACTCATCATAGGTGCTTGAAATTTTAACACACTCTTTGTTTAGGCATGCCATATGGTGGGATTCATTTTTGTACGAATTCGATGTCAACTTCCTGTTTATCCGTGCGTTTGTCCGTACCATACATAAAAAAATTTGGTCGTAGTTTTCTCAGTAACTACTCATCGCAGATGCTTGAAATTTTAGCACAATCTTTGTTTAGGCATGCCATATGATGGGATTCATTTTTGTACTAATCCGAAGTCAACTTCCTGTTTATCTGTGCGTCTGTCGGTATCACACATAACAAACTTTGGTCGCAGTTTTCTCAGCAACTACTCATCACAGGTGCTTGAAATTTTAACACACTCTTTGTTTAGGCATGCCATATGGTGGGATTCATTTTTGTACTAATCCGATGTCAACTTCCTGTTTATCTGTGCGTCTGTCCGTATCACACATAACAAACTTTGGTCGCAGTTTTCTCAGCAACTACTCATCATAGGTGCTTGAAATTTTAACACACTCTTTGTTTAGGCATGCCATATGGTGGGATTCATTTTTGTACGAATCCGATGTCAACTTCCTGTTAATCCGTGCATCTGTCCGTACCATACATAACAAATTTTGGTCGTAGTTTTCTCAGCAACTACTCATTGCAGATGCTTGAAATTTTAGCACAATCTTTGTTTAGGCATGCCATATAATAGGATTCATTTTTGGAACAAATCCGATGTCAACTTCCTGTTTATCCGTGCATCTGTCCGTACCATACATAATAAATTTTGGTCATAGTTTTCTCAGCAACTACTCATGATGACATCGCAGATGCTTGAAATTTTAGCACAGTCTTTGTTTAGGCATGCCATATGTTGGGATTCATTTTTTACAAATCCGATGTCAATTTCCTGATTATCACTGTGTTTGTCCATAACCGAACTTGTGTATTCACATCAGGGCGGGGGTATTATTCGTGAGCATTGGCTCACAGACTTCTTGTTTGACCTAGACTTTCCTTTGACCTTAACTTCATCTATTTTAAGTAAGTGTTTAGTTCTGTTTTAAATAAACCATTCAAAATATTTTTATCAAACTTAATATGCTGATACATACTGTAGATTCCTTATTTTTCGCGAGTACTTATTATCGCGAAATGGCTCTTTCACGTCAAATCGCGAGAACAATAATTCGCGATTGGACGGTTGATCAAGGGGTTTTACATTGATTTCAGCACCATAAAAATAAAAGCGAGAAATTTTATTTCGCGAGTGGTGCTTTTCGCGTAATTACGCGATAATTAATTCCTCGCGTATATTTAGGAATCTACAGTATTTGTGAGAACTATTCAATTGCATCAAAAATGTATGACCTTGAACTTTCCTGTGACCTTGACCTCACTTTTCTTTAAATTTGCATTTTCTTTAGTTTTAAAGAAACCATTTAAGATATATTTATGTAAGCTTTTGCACTTATACATGATTTGGTGAGAATTTATCATCTATATTCAACTTTTTAGATTTCAGTTTTAAAGAAATTATTCAGGATATTCTCATCAAATTTCATACACTAATACAAATTTTCATGTTGCATTACTAATATACCTTTGACAGGGCATTCATGTCCTATGGACATATTCCTGGTTTTTTGGTGTTCTAATTGTAGAGAGTATTGTTGGCAGTATCAGAAAGTGGTTTTTTTTTTTACTATGATGTGATCTACATTCTGTATTGACTGGGATGTTATCTATGTTTTTTTAATGACTGAAATATGGTCTATTGTTTGTTTTTTTATTAAGATGTGTACAATGGTTGTGTGATTTTTTGACTAGGATATGTTCTGTAGGTTTTTATTTATTTATTCAATTTTTTTTGTCTAGGATGTGAGATTTAGTTCAGGCTGTATATTTTTTGACCAGTATGTGATTGTTTGGTTTTGACTAGGATGTGATATTTGATTGTCTGGTTTTGACTAGGATGTGATATTTGATTGTTTGGTTTTGACTAGGATGTGATATTTGATTGTTTGGTTTTGACTAGGATGTGATATTTGATTGTCTGGTTTTGACTAGGATGTGATATTTGATTGTTTGGTTTTGACTAGGATGTGATATTTGATTGTTTGGTTTTGACTAGGATGTGATATTTGATTGTCTGGTTTTGACTAGGATGTGATATTTGATTGTCTGGTTTTGACTAGGATGTGATCTTTTATTGTTTGTTTTTAGTCATGGATCTGACCTATTTGTTTTGTTTTGTTTTGTTTTTTGACTAGGATGTGAACTAAGGTTGTTGTTGTTGTTTGTTTGTTTGTTTTTTTTGACTAGAATGTCATCTACATGTATGGTTTTTATTTGTTTGTTTGTTTGGGGTTTTTTTATTAGGATGTGACCTAATAAAGGTTGTTTGCTTTTTGAGTAGGATGTGATATATGGTTGTTTGTTTTTTTTACTAGGATGTACCGGTAATTTATGGTTGGTTGTTTTTTGACTAGGATGTAATCTATGGTTGTTTGATTTTTGACCAGGATGTGATCTATGGGTGTTTGGAATTGAATTATGACCGAGTCAGAGCAGCTTTGAAGAAGTCCTGGTGCAGAATTAACTTTCTTAATAAGGTATAGTGGGTTACTTTGACAATAGAAATGAATAATGCATAGATATCTTAATTTTTTTCAGCAATGAATAAAGCATTCTTTCTTTTAATGGACAGTGATTAAAAGTAATAATTATTATTATACATCGTTAAAGCATTTCTATAAGCACAGCCTTTTTTTTAATACAAATTTTTAGAAACACAAAATTTAAAATGCAAACATACATGCAACTTGTTGATTCTAGTAAATGGTAGATATGATATATGGTGTATTCTGTCTCTCTGTGCAGGCCTCCAGAAAGCAGCACATTCTACAGTTTGCTATAGAAATGAGGGACAACACCTTAGTCAAAATGCTCTGTGATGCTGGGGCAGATGTTAACATGCTGGTTCTCGTCCATGATTACTTTGTGGTGTGTTTATAGATGATCACTCCTTTGTTAACACTATTGCTTTACTTTAAAAACAGAGTTTTCACAAATGAAAGTCATATGTTAAGTTATTATTTATTTGCAAACTACATGTATGAATATAAAACTCCTTGTAATGTGCACATTGAAATAATATTTTCAAAATGATGTCACAGAGGAAGGAGTGTACTGGACAGCAATCCTGCAATCTTTGGTTGTAAAATTTATTTTAAAATGTAACCATTTCTTTCCAGCTAAATTACTAAGCAATACATTTATGACCTTTATGAAGTTAAATATAATTGAGGCATTAGTTGGTAAATGAATATATGTTACAAATGTTTCATAGCCAGGACAGTCCTATGAAATTCATTTTGGAGGGTAATGTTAAAAATTTTTTCACATGATAGAGACATAGATTTACCGGTATTGTATACATCCTATCATACTATCAGATGTGTATATCATGTAAAACCTCTCTTTTTTTCTATGTGATTTTGATGGAAATATGTGTATAATTTTATTATACCTCTCATGCTTACATTCTGCTGATGTGAAGATGCTTAAGATTTTTACATTTGATGTCTGCAGACTTTTTGTCATTTAGGCTAAAATATTGTTTATAGGGCTTTCATGAGTTAAAGGTAAAAACAAAAATACAGGAATTATTTCTTTATTTTATAAATCTTTTTTTTTCACTTTTAGCAGTATTATAGTTTTGATTTCTCATAATAACTTGACTGTAAACTAATTTTTATGGCTGTAATAGAAAACTTTTGGAAGTAAATCTTATGTTTAAATCCTCAAACTTCTAATAGTAACGAAGTTATTGTTTATTGAAACGTAGGTTAAGTTGAACAGAATTAGTTTACAGTTTTTTAAAAATTTACTTTTCAGTTGATGATTTTCTCCATTTAATTAGAAATCTAAATAACATTTACACCAATAACTATATATATACCAGCACATTTATTTTTGTGTTTAATGGATTTATATTCTGTTATTTATTTCTCTTATGCAAAAATATATATCGATTACTGTTATTCGACTTTCATTTCTGGTTTTGGTCTGCACAACTCTCAATTCTCAGTACTTCAGATTATATCATAGGATGTTAAAAATTAAAACAAATTTGTTTATAATATCCTTGTTACTTCACTATTCTAATTTTTGATATATATTAAATAAGAAATTTAATAGATTGTTTTAATTCAGTTGATGAGGTACCCATATGTATTTATGGAAAAAAATTGTTAAGTATAAATTTTCTATGCAGAATAACAGTATTTACTTGTTTGTATCTTTTATGTGTCCATAGAATTACATTATCTAGGATAATTTGATAAGTGATCTAATGCAACATGTTTAAAACAAAGTTGATGCATATAATCAACTAAATAAATTTATATTAATTAGCATGTATTTCTGTTCCATAGTTTTAAGATGCTTTAGATTTTTTGCTTTCCTCACAGAATTTAGAGATATTTTTACAGCTGGGTATTATTTTTTTGTGATCAGGGTCCCCTGTACTTTGAAGTGATCAACACCTCGACACCGCCAGACATCATGTGGACCGTACTGAAAGCTAATGTCAACTTTAATATTAAAGATGAGGTCAGATTACAAAGCTTTTTTGAATACTCCCATACATATAAATGTTAAGTGCTAAAACTTTCTTGTAATAATTCATTTTAAACAAACTACCAGTAAACACTTATTTCTCATTCAATATTAAGTAAATGCTTTAAAAATGTTATCATAAAACATAATGTACATGTAAATGTTTTTGAAAAATACTTGATGTCCTTTACATTTTAATGTACATTGTACTTTCAAACGTTTAAATTTTTTAATGTACATATTTAGAGAGGAAGAAATGCTATGACCTATGCTTTAGACAAGGGGAATGGGTTCTTGCCAACAGAAGTGTTCAAGTTTATGCTAAGGAATGGAGCCTATCTGGGAGACAGGGATGATGTGAGAATGTCCTTTCTTGTTGCTCTGTTTTCTTTGCATTAAATTAAAAATAATTATAATAAGCCTGTTTTGTGAATGATGATACAATATTGGTTTTGATAAGTTTTATTCTTTTAATACCCCGTACTAAATTTTAAATCTAATAAAAAGTACAGGTGAAATACTTACAGTTATTAGTACATTGTCATCAGATAAATTTAGATAACATAGTCATACATAAGATCATTTTTATAAGGTGTAACATCAGATACTGTAGATTTCTAAATATACTTGAGGAACTTATTATTAATTTTGCAAGAAACATGACTCAAAAGTCAAAAATAAAAAAAAAATCACTCAAAAAAATAAAATCACTTGCTTTTATTTTTATATAGACAAAAGTAGAAATACATGTTAAAAACTTTTAATCAGCAGTCCATTCTTGAATTCTCACTATTTGAAGTCTACATCTCATTGATGTCAGAAATTGTACCTGAACACTTGAATTTTAGAATTAAATGGAAAATACTGATACATTGTAAAAAGTATTACTTTTTTTAACATTTAAGACAGGAATAGGGGCCAGTGAGATTGCCAAATCTTTGTATCATTGAATGACTTCCTTTACATTTCAGACAGGGGTAGGGGTCCGTGAGATTGCCAAGTTTGCTAGGAGAATGGATGTAGGCACATTGATAGACAAGGTAAAGGGAAAATATAGAGTGTCATGTACCATACTCAATGTTTGAAATTCCAGCACTTGGACATTAATGACATGGGAAAATTAGCATAGATTTTGTTGACCATTGCAGTACTACATCCAAGTGATTAGGAATTCAGACCTTGATATGCTGAGGAGGCTAGCTGTGGATGGCTATGGAGGACTTCTTATAAACTTCAATGTATGGATTTTTTTAGTTTAATTTTCTTCATTTATTTTCATGTACTCAGAGTTCTAAGATTAATGAAAAGGTAGAATTCAGTATGTTTATTTAATCAGACCATTGCTTTTCATGTACATATAAACTTACATGTGCTTTATATAGATCTCTTTGTCTCTTTTCAGTATAGAGACTCATACATCTATGCTGCTGGGAATGACACTGATGATGTTTTAAAATTTATAGAATGGCTGCCAACATTTCAGGTGAGCAAGGCTTTTTATTGTTTCTTTGTTTTGAAGTACCAGTAATATATTTCCATGGATATTGATACATGTAGCTTGAGAAAATAGTGACAAAGGTCTTGCTAATGTTTTTGATTTATAATCTCTTTTTAAAAATGTTCAGTTTTTTAGAATCCTTAGTTTTTATCAAACATGTCTAAAGGCATCTTTTCCTGTTAGAGACACCCCCCCCCCCCCCCACACACACACAAGTCCTGACTAAGATGGAGAAGTTTCATTTCTGTTGTTGGGGTCAGAATTAAGTATGCATTTTTCTCTCTGGCTTGTATGCTATAAAATTGAAGAACATAGTCTTAATGATAGAATATTCTATTTACAGGAACAAGTGAGATTGCTCCATCTGGCCATTAGAGAGGAACCATTAAGTGAATTCTCCTCTATTCTCCAAAGCTGTAGTGAACCAGAATTGTTAATCAACTCTAAAGACAAGGTCAGACTTCTTAAGATATGAACTAATTTGGATTGTATCTCAGAAGCTCAACATATTTTAATTTGAATTGAGATTTTTAATGGAATTTTTATTTTTATTTTTTTGGTTATTTATTATCATTTTATAATATTTGTTATTTATTATCATTCTTATGTCAGGGATTGAGGAGTCCACTGATTCTAGCTACATTATTTGCCCGAGATGATGTGGTGAATTTTATACTTAAACAGCCTTACAAGATCGATATCAATGCCCAGGACTGTGTAAGCATAAAAGTTTTTCAACTTTTACAGGGACATATACTAACATATATACTAACAGGATAGGCAACTCCTTCAGCGCTGTGTGTATATCCTAAAAATATCTCATGCTTCCTTCCAAATTTTACAAATTATGTTTAATCCCAGGAAAAGAACTTGTTTTTTGATAAATGCAGGTTATTATTTTTGTTAATGGGTAATGCGGATGGTTTTAGGTAATTTTTAAAGCATACTTTGTAAAATATTTTAAATTTAAGGAAACAAGCAGCAGAATCTTGGATCAGAAGTGCTGCCAATCAGGGACACATGTTGATCTTAAAAATACAACATAATTATAAAATGCTAACATAAGGAGTACACAGTGTAAATAATAAATGTTTTGTTCCGACATTTTTGATAACATAAGAGATATATGAAATTAAAATTGACATGAAAACCTGTGCAAGATATAGTGGGACTTGGAAGAGTTGTCAATCTTGTTAGTATATAGATCCTTGATTTTTTACAGATATTGAAACACACTCTCAATTTAGGATTGTTGAAATCAAAATAGTCCTTCCTATAACATTTCTCACCATACCTGTTTATTTCAGTGCAAGAGAACAGCGTATCATTATACATATTTTCTGGATCTGGATGGAGAAAGCATTCGTAAATCTCTGATTGAGGCTGGGATAGACCAGACTCTATTGGATGTGGTAAGTCAAGTCTTTTATGTGGATGTAGGGCAGTTGCATTCACTTTATGATTTGAGTATCATTATGGGTCTGAGTGGGAAAATCATTTTGGACGTGGACAGATTTTCTTTCCATTTATGATAATATGCCTCCGATATGTCAATGTGTCCCCATGTGTGCGTTTCTTGTCTGCCTGGTACTTATAAGTGGCATATGCTGTCCTATCACTGAAGAGTCATATTACCAATGAATCCTCTCAAAATGTTCCACCATTAGAAGATTTCTGGCTAAAAATACAGCAAGATCAAGCCAGATCTATATACATGTAAGCATTATTATATTGCTAATATGCAACTTGATCTCTCTCAGAAAGGCAAAAGAGGAGAAGACTATGCAGAATTTGCAGATAAAGAGGAATGGATTGATCAAGAAATCACTGTAAGTAATGAGTTTGACCAAAAATAGATAATTGTATAATTTAACTTGAGTGTGTTAACCAAACTTAAGACCTTTAATTCCATGTAAACATTATATTTAATTTAAGCTCAGCTAAAGGCCCTTTCACTTGGTGCATGAGCAGACACGACAAAATATTTGTGTGACCGAAAAAAAATTGATTTGGATCGTAAACTGTTGCCGAAATAATTGCATATGAAAAAGTATTCGTACGAAATTCGCAAGATCTAAAGCGACCGTTGTGCGATGCAAACACAATGATCTTGCAATATAATTTGTGTCTATATGCGGCTGATATACAATGAAAGCAAGTGTTGTAAGATAATGCGATAAGATGGCATGAGTGATCATGTGATCGGACGATTGAACTTGCACTAATGCGATTGGACATGCGGCGCTTGTGTGTTCATGCGGTCCATGGTACGAATGCTCATTCAAGTGCATATAGGCAACACCCATCAGCCACGCAATTCTAAATTTAGAGAACTCGACACAGTGCTGCGATTTTTCTTATTTCTTCTTAATATTGTTATCATTTAGAATGTGCGTAATTAATTATTGACTGAATTATTATGACATCAAAGTGTTTCGGCGGTTTGATATCATATTGGTGTATATATATAAAATATATGGTGTATATATATAATATTTGCATGGCAAATTGAAGCTGATAAATCGTGCAATGATAGTAAAATGTTGCAAGATTACATGAGGCATGATAAGCAACAGTCATATGGTTGCAAAACACACGCATAAACAGCTGCGGTTCATCATATGATCTTTAAAAATTGTGCATCACTCTTACGAGTACACAAAACATTGTAAGACATTCGTACTAATGTTCATGTGTTGCATCGGCAATTGCGATAATTTGGATCGCATTTGGTTGCGTCTGAATGGTGTGCATGTCCACTATTTTGAGGAGACTTGATGCAACCACTAAAATGCATGCAACCAATGTGAGACATCATGCAACGTATGTGAGAACTCGTGCGAAGCTAAAAAATTGTGATCGCAAAGTGTTGTAAAATGCTCCTGCGCCAATTGTGAAAGGCCTTAAGCCAGCTAGCAAGTGGCTGAAGTGAGCATTTCTGATAAAAGTTTGTCTGTGGTCTGTCTGTTGTCTATTATCTCATGATCTGTTCTTAGTAACTTTTCATTCTTCAAAATATTTAATTATGGGGGGGGGGGGGGGGGGGTAGAATTGTAACAATTTTCTTTTTTCACAAAACTGTGGGAGAAGGATCTTTGTTTATTCAATTTAATGACAAAGACACATAACTTTCAAGAAGAGAGGATTGAATAAAATGAAAATAGGATAGGTTCATTTTAAAAACTTCCTCAGAAGCAATTGATCAAAACAGACAGCATAGAAGGATATTGCTTTAATATACAGTTGAACTTTGGTATCTCGAACACAGATATTTTGAATACCATGGATATGTCGAAGTAATTTTGAAGTTCCAACTACTTATTCCTTAAGAGTTTTACCCTGGATTTCTTGAATCCTCGGTTATCTCAAAGTATTTTCTCGGTCCCTTGAAGTCTGAGATAACGAGGTTTGACTGTACAGTATAGCATCCCTTCTGTTCAAGTTGTGAACCCTGGACTTAGGATGGGGCCACAGTTGGGGTTCAAAATTTTACACTACAAAAAAAAAAACAACAGTTTTCGGATATCAATATGTATGACCAGCGAAAAATGTGTCCATTATTTAATACATCTATTCAGTTAAAAGAGAGGGAGTTATATTGTACGAGCTTTGTGGCTAATATGCATTTTGTTGCAATGCTTACATACGTAAAAACATTAGAAATAACATTAAAAATCATGACTTTGTATAATCATTTATTAAATGGATGTGAATATTTTTACTATGCATGTGCATGAAAATTACTCTAAGCTCACTACTAATTTATTTGTGCATGACATTTTTTATCCAAACAGGCTAAATATGGAATGGAATTAGAACTTATGTGTATTGAAAAGGTTTGTATTTTTTGGGCTTAAAAATCATCTCTAAATCCTGTGTAATTTTTAAGTCATAAAATACATTGTATAATGTTTGAAATACATGAAAAATCACCAAAAAAAAAAAAAAATTAAAACAGAGGTTTAATAATAATATTTTTCATCCAAAATATAGTATGAAGACCTGAGAAAAGTCATTCGATCCAAAAAACAGGGATTGAAGGAGTTCATTGAACAGCTAAGAGATTTCCCGGTCCCTGTGGCTACCTTCCCAAAGATAGTAAGTATCAAACATTATACATGTAGATGGTAGAATATTTTCTGTGCACAGATTCATATGTTCATGTCTGGAAGAGTTTTCTCCCTTTTCACAGTAAAATACAAACACAAACTAAAGAAAAAAACAACTTATATTCATGCTTGATTTAATTTACATTAGTGTACCATATACTTAGCTAACATGGTGAGGAACATTCTTTCAAAGTCCATGATTAAATATTTTTAAAATATTCTTAAGAAAGTAGAAATCTGAAAAAGTTGACTATTATGAATTTTTGAAAAGAAAAATGACTCATCATTCAGTGAAATAACCATCATTTCTTCCTTCTAGTTGGGCCCCCTGATGTCGGATTACAGAGACATCATATTTTTAGCAGTGGATTATGGGAAAGAAGATATTGCAGTTCGATTGGCTCATCTAGGAGCTGACTTATTCAGGAAAGAATTGGTAAGAATATTTACATGATTACAATTTATAATGCTTTGATACTTGAAATTTGTTAATTCATTTGTTTAGTTTCAGTAATTGGTGAACATACCTAAATTTCAAATTCTTCTGATCCTTTTGTATACATTTATGTATATATAAAACAATAAAATTTGTTTGAATCTAATTGAGATTTCACAATGGCCTATTATGCAAGCAATACTGATGAGTTTCATTTATTATTGAATAATATTCACGGTGCTGTAAATTCAGCAGGTAGGCATAGAGTTGAATAGCGAGAATTAATGCATAATGAAAATCTGTATGCTCGCCAGACTACTGCGGTGAAGACTTTTATTCAATGCGTATGTTACGTACATTCTTTATCCATTATATTTTTAAATGTACATGGATTTTTAAATTAGTTTATTGCTAAGATGTCATTATTGTATTTCTTTAACAAATGGTTTGCAAGGAATGTACAAAAAAAAAGGGGGGGGGGGGGGGAATTGGGTTGAAAATGAATGTTGTAATTGTTGAGCAAGTTCCAGACTTTTAGTTTTAGTATATAAGAAATAGCAGGGTTGCATGGAGAAGCTAGATTGTAATCACGACATTAACTTCAAGAACTGTATTTCAGTACATAAGAAAAAGCAGGGATGGAGAAGAAGTGATGGTTGCCATGGATGTTGTGGAAAGGGCTGCAACGCTCAAAATGGTAGATTTGGTCAATGTTCTTGCCAAGAAGCAGGTACGTCAGAGGGAAATCCATACACCATTGGTTCCAAGACGTGCTCAAGTCAAATTACAGCTGGAATTGTCAATGAAGTCTGTGGACTTTGAAAAGATATTTGTGTCTCAAACACCATTGTGTTTTTATTGAGTTCATCATTTCATTGATGCCTTATTTAATATTTCATCATCTCAATACATTGCATTTCAAGGTTGGAATAATTAAGAGATGTAAGACTCACTAATGTTAGTATTTTAGATGTATGAGCTTTTTATTTTTGGTTCATGGGAAGTATGTTTATGTATGCATGTACTTTATATGTAACATTTTTATGTACGGTATTGTTAAACTGTGATATTTTTGACACAGATTTAAGATATTGTTAATGATTTATTAGCGTTAATCATGTTCTTGTATCTGCATTGCAAACACATGTTGAGAAATTGAAACAATAAACTATACAATATTTTATGTTTTTTTTTGTTTTTTTTTTGTTTTGCTTTAGTTGTAGACCAGATGATGTAATTTATTGGTAAACGTATAGTTCTTGTTGTCTGTCTGTAAATATTCTCCTAGCTCTTGCAGTTTTTGTCAGATTTCCATAAAAATTACCTTCATCATCAAAACCTGATTTAAGGAAAACTTTTTTCAAGTAGACTATATCAAGGTACTTTATGGTAAATTTACTTTGATTTTTGATTTCATTGATCATTAAAAATAGAATGATATATTGAATTCTTTTTAAAGTTCCCATAAGAGTAAAATTTTTGTAATAAAGATACTTATATGTATATTATTTATCAAATTTTGTTGCAACATGTACAATTCTATCAAAGACTACTTTAGATTTTACTTTTCTAGAAAAGTCTCTTGTTACTGAAAATAATAGCTCTGTAAATTTTTCACTATGCTACTTCCTAGTATTAAATCATCGTCGCAAACCACGGTTTTGAGTCCACAAGCTATTGTGGGTTACCGACAGTGGTATTAAATATTCCCAACAGCTGTATGTCTGACATCGTGTTTTAAATGAAAAGAATGTTTATAACTTTGACATTTCAAATCTCAGAGGAGAAATATTCAAACATAAATGCACCAACATATATAACCTTACATTTATCTCTCCGTGCCAGAAGGCACACAAGGCCTGAACATCCCTCATGTTGTTTTGGGGCAGCCTCCGTTCCTTCTCCCCTCAGGCGTCCACCTGAGGGCCACAACACAGTCATCCATTGGATCCTTCCTCAGCAGATGTTTTCTGTTCCTGCCATCTCCAGAACTGTCTTGTTTGGGATATGCTACTGCCATCTGACCTTGAGAATCCTTCTGAGGCACTTGGTCTGAAAGATGTCAAACCTCTTTTCCTCTATCTTGGTAAGCTTCCAAGTATCACATCCATATTACAATATGGAGAGGACCAAGCTCGTGAACAGAGAGACTTTGATCATTCTACTGATATCTGTGGCCTTCCAGATGTTGGCTTGCCTCCTGAAGGATGCGCTGGCCAACGCACTCCTCTTCCTGCTGTCAGCAGTACCTTCACTGTCCTTTGTTACATTGGCACCAAGGTAAGTGAGCTGTCCACCTCTTCTGCTTCACTGTTTCTGACTGTCAGGCTGTTTATCTTCCATCACTTTGCACTTCTTGGCATTCATGATCAGCTTCATCCGAACTTGGAAGAAACCAACATACCGGTATATACATCCAGTCTAAATCATTAAGACTACAGTCTAATCAGAGAAATGTGATTATTAAATGAAAGTAACCTATAAGTTGGAAAGATTCTCCTTTACCAACTCTACATGGATTTATTACTTTCTCAAACCTAAAAATTGCTCCCCCCCCCTGAAAATACCTTATTTTACAGAAGATCTATTTGCATGTTCTTTCCTATGTGTGTGTCATTTCAATCTACACCTTGTTCCTATCGCCAAACTAAACAACACATTTAATTTAGTAGTTCAGCATATACAAGTTACAAGTCAACCTGATCCTTAAAAACTATAAAAGAGCTATTGTTTTTTGTACTATATGATAAAATTTCTTGTATAATTATTTTATTCAATGGACATATTTACATTTTTAATGCGATTTATTATCATAGTTGAATAATGAAGGGTAATAACTTCTCTCAAAAAGAGCAAGTTTCCTTACATGATAAATTGAGACCAGTCCATTGGTCAAGAATTTCACAAATCTGGTAAAAACATCCTTGCTCATTGCAACTCTGAACTCTGCAATCTAATAGATGCAGGGAGCAGAGATTATTTTCAGAGAATCGATGCAATTTCACTAAATGTTTTAGAAAAGTTTTAATACCAAAACCCCTAACCCAGGGGACATCAATTTCACAATATTTGAAGATACATCTTTGTTCATCATAACCATGCATAGATCTGTTTGCTTATTACCCAGGTGCAGTCTTGAGAAGATTTTAAGGAATTAATGCATTTTTTACTCATGACGAATAGAGCCCAACCCAACACAAGGACTCCTCAGCCAAGGGCTATGAATTCAGTTTTGTAAGTGGAACCCTTACTTATCATACCCATGCATTTACTCTGTTTGCTAAATACCCAGGAGCAGTCTGAAAAAGATTTTCAAAGAATTAATGCATATTCCTTATGGCCGGTATGTAATCTATAGAGCCCCATCCTAACAAGAATCCATCAACCAGGGGCCATGAATTTAACAATTTTGGAAGAGGCACCCTTGCTCATCCTAACCATGCATTTAGTTTGTTTGCTAAATACACAGGAGAAGAGGAGATTTTCAAAGAATAAATGCATATGATCAAAAGAGCCCCACACCAGAACCCCTGACCCAGTGACCATGAATTTCAAAATTTGGAAGAGGCACCCTTACTCATCATTCATGCAATTTGTTTGCTAAATGTACAGGGGTACAACAGAACTTTAAAGAATTTTTGCATTTTCATTATATGATCAATAGAGTTCTGCCCTAACACCAAAATCCCTGACCCTGAGGCCATAAACCTCTCAACTTTGGTAGAGGGCACATTGCTTATTATAGCCATGTCAACAATTTGTCTGCTTGATGTCCAAGAGACATGGATTTCTGAAGATTGCATTTATTTTTATAGTTTTGACAGAGACCATGAAATTCACTATTTTTCTTCCCCTTCACCAATTAGATATTACCAGTACATATAAAAATTGGTTAGATATGTTCAACAGTTTCAGAGAAGCTGAAAATGTTCAATTATTACAGTACATTGCACAACTGTACTGTGCATGAACAACAGATGAATCCAGATACATATAGCAATAGGTCATCTGAATGAACAAACCTTACCAATGTAACTTGATCTCAAGATTACAGTGTACAACAGTTTACATGTAGTTGGTTTCAATATAGATCATTCATTTCATGGCTTATAAACATATTTTTGCCTTTAACATTTATGTTCACAAATGAATGAAGTTTCAGTTAATAACAAAATGTGTTTGTGAAACACTGATGCCCCCATATGGCAGCTCATGGCAAAGGTTAAAGTTTCTTAAATGCAAGCCAAACTCCAGGCAAAATTGTTTAGCCCCCTCCACCCCCCCCCCCCCCCCCAAAAAAAAATCTACACATATTAGGATCTTTTTTTTTTTTTTAATAATCTCTGCAATAGCATTCATTAGGTACAACCAAGAACACAAAAACATGCAAATAATAATTTAAATAAAATAAATAATAATATACACATGTAAAGGACAAAACAATAGAACACCTGACACTAGGTAAGTGCATGGACAAAAAGAATTACTACATAGCAAGACTGCATGTGCAGAGAAGCTTAAAGAAATTAAAAAATTATTAAAAGATAACTGAAATTTAATGACTTTTTGTTCAACTGAGCCTTGATATTTAGAAAGACCTTTTTTCTTTAATTAAACATTTTTGAAAAAAAAATTCATCAACTCCAAATTGACAATCAGCTAATCGATATAATTCTAAATGACCATGCATGTAAACGAGTGCCTATATAAATATGGCATACACCAGCAAATAAAAACTTTTCTTGATAAACATACATATATTTATTTATATATTGATGAAGTAAAAATATTCATGGGGATTCCACTTCCTGGATATGATTCTTCAAGAAAAATTGAATCTGTCATAAATGTTTACCTTGGAATTTTATACTATAATCTGAACAATCATTATATTCCAGTAATTAATAGAAACCATAAAATAAAGGCCCATTGAACTCACTAACTGGTGTAAAACCATATAAAATTTTATAGCCACAAACATTTTAGCTTCCACAATAAATACCTTTATCTGAGATCTCCCAATCTCTTAGACAGCAAGACTGGGTATAACTAATATCCTTGCTACTTATCTCCAAAAATAGTTCACTACTTTAGAAACTATAGACTCTACTTTAATACACACAGATGTACAAAATACATTAACATGGGACCTAGAAATAAAATGTTGACAAAGTTCTGGCCATGTGATACTCTGAAATAAGTCATTTGCAAAGAGTACCATCAGTAACCAAAACTCTGACCTTCAGAAGATTTATGTATCACAATATGGAACCAAATATAATTACCACGTACAATTTCCAAAGGATTATGTATACTTAACATACATTATATACACTTTAACTACCGGTACTACAATTTTTCTTAATTTTACAAACATATACATGTATTCCAGTTACATTCTGTTATGTTGTGAGGTATTTATGTCTTAAGAAAAGCTGGGGGTTCATGAAGGGTCTCTGAATAAAGGGACACTACCATTACATGGACCAGTCTCCACCTTAAAATATTTTTTATAACCCAGTTCTGTGCCCTTCTTTCAGAATTAATGCTTATAAGTGTATAGATCATACTTTCATAAATCAACAGATACCATCTGATTCACAGTACTTTAAGAAATCAACTGATACCACTTGTGAGCATTTATGATCTCTACAGAGTGAAAGATTACTCTTGTATCTAATCTTCTGAGAATTTCCAATATAGTTTGTTTTCACAAGACTCTGAATCTTAAAATACATATTACATCCATATAACAAAGTTTTCTCCAGGCAAAGCACTTGCATGTATAACATATTAACAGATCATTACAAAAATAATTGCAGGGAAATGCGAGATGGAATGCTTAAAAATTTGTAGATTTCAAAAAAAGGCAAGAAACACATGATCTCAGGCATCAGAACCAAATTAACAAGAATACAAGCACCATTAAAATCATTGTGCAAATCTAAACAATGTGCAACATAAATAATAATAATGTAAATAAATCATACAGTTTGGGACCTCTACAGTTTACAACCTTAATATGAATACATATTTCTGCTATGAATATAAATACACTATCTCACTTACACAACTGTATCTGCATTGGCTTGAAAGGGTCAAAAATGTATTCCTCACAACATTTACTTCAATTAGAAAGAGCTACAAAATTTACATTTTCTGGTATACATGTATTTCAATAATACAAAGACGTGTAAGGGATACTGTCACAACACCAGAGCCATGCAACAAATTGTGACCTTCCCCTCTTCATTTCTTTGGAGAAATAGCCTTCAATAATGATATCCATGATTGAATGCTATATTTACACTAACCTTCATGATATTCATATTCAAAGGATTCTATGGAACATCATCAAAAGATGAAATATAGTAAAGGATTAATGTAAACAGTGATGACACTTTTCATTAAAATTTTGAATACTGTAAACCAACTTCTATTCATGTGCTAGAAGTATCTGCAAGTAAATCTGACTTCTTTTACTTCAAATATACTACTTAACAGTACTTGTTTATTTAATGACACGTAAAATGTTTCCTCACTTGCAAAAAATAATAGCTGCTAAGAGATTTCAAACTGAATAAAATTTGTCAAAAATGATATAATACATGTAGTTAGTTTACAGTATGCTACAATCATTATACAGACATGTACTATAATTCACTGCATGGAAATTTCCTTTAAAAAATATTACAACATTGCCCGCACTGATAACTCAATATATTTTCCTAAATAGTTGAAGAAAATATTCTATTTTAATAGATGGGGATCAATTAACACTAATTTGCTCAGGAAAAGCACAGGCTTCTGACTCGAAAAAAAAATGTCATATTAAGCAAAGCATCCAGCTTCTTTTCTTTTGACATATAGTTTCCTCTGTAGAATATTGATGCGAGAGATAAATTTTCGGAAAATTATATGTAGTCACTAAAATCAATGTCACAAAATTAA